CACGCCACAATGGTATAAGAGCCCACTGTGCAATGGATCATTAAATGATCTGTATGAATTATGGACTGTGCTCAAATTGCTCACAGCAGTGGCTCCACAGTTGAGCTTGCTCCCATATCCATAGAGCACAGCAGAACCCTAGTGGTTGGCAACAAATGTTGCACCTCAGACATGAACAGCAGAGCAAGCATTAGCAAAACATGGTCCAGTATCACAGAAACCCTGAAGCTCATGGATTCAACTGCCAATGAATGCTGCAAAAATGCATTGAAGGCAAACAGCAACAACGCCACATTACTGACGCAAAGAATAGTCAATCACATTCAAAATTAGATGTAATTCAATCAAATCAAACGAATTGACTTGTAAGATGTAGGTTCCCGCAAATGGCCCATGGCCTCTTCACCTTTGGCTCGATCACCGCCCTCCCGTGGTCAATGTTGAGCCGGCCGTGGTTGCCCCTCATGTCCATCATCTCCTCGAACACCATCCCAATCGCTTCATCCACATTGAAAGTCATGTTCTCGTAGATATCGTCGCGCTTCTTCAGGCCCTCCTCCGTCTTGCACACCACCTTGCAAATGTTCTTGTGCAGTCTCTCTGCATGCGACAGTTTGGCTTCCTTAGCCTCCTTGGCGTCCTGGCAAAGGATCCAGCACAGAATTGGGAGGACGTCAGGTGAAATTGAACATCGAGTCTCGTCCTCCCATCACCTGCAAGAACTTCCACTCCTTAAAGTTCGTGTCGCAGGCTGGGATCCCTGTGGCCTTCGCACGGGCACACGACACTGAAGATGGGAAATGGTGTGGGTAGACGTCAAGGAAGGGATGGCCCGTTTCCACTAAACGCGCAAAAGAAATAAGGCAAAGAATCGAAGAACGGCATGCACAACTGAGCGAAAAATGGCGACATTGCCCCTTCCACACAGTTTGTGTCTGCGCTGAAATGAGGGTAAGTTGCTGAAAATCGCGCATTGATATACTTCTTCTGTCCCACAACAAATATCCACAATTTGGAGTCGCTATATCTTTACACAGGCAGCCAGGTGCTCAAACAGAAACCTGATTACGAGATGCCAGGTGACAAGACCCTCTTGGGCTGATCGAATAGGAAAAACTTTCTCCCCAGCTGCGTTGTACATCAGGGGAAAAGCACTAATTTGGGCAAAGGAAACGACAGTTGGACGACGTTTGCCGATAAACGCTTCACAGCCCTTTGGCCGACCCCTGCCTCTTTAGAACGACTGCACTGAGCTTGCAAAGATCTGGCATTACAAGTTCTTGAAGCGCTGTTTGGGCTGCCCTGGGAAACCCGTGAACGTTCAAAGTTCAGAACAAATTGTTACTTTTTGATTGGAGTAGCAGGAAATCAAATTGCTGTCAGGTTTCGTCATTTTGAGTTTGGATAACATCCCCTACGCTCACAATATTAATCTGAGATAACTTTTGTAAACATCTGATTAGGTTTTATACAAAAACAGCGCCAAAAAATCACTGGAGCCATTTGTTGTGGTATTGAGGAAGTACACAGTGGCAACACCTACAGTTACATTGCAACAGTCGCGGAAGCCATGCCAAAGAGAGGGAATACTTGTGCACTTAACAGTGTCCTTCATGCCTTTTGCGATTGTGAAACAGGGAAGTTCATCGGACCTTAAGCTCATGTAGGTTGCCTCCCCCCATGGCTTCCTTCTTCCGCTTCAACCGCTCCTGCTTTTTGATTTCCAGTTCAAGATTGTCAGATGTGAAGAAGTCGTCGATGTGCACACCTGTGATAGCAAGAACGGTGTCGTTGACTCAAATCTCGGTCATCGCATTTGTGCAATTGACAAGCACGCTGGCTATTTTCTTGGTTCCCAAATCTCCAAAGCTGTGTCGCACTGTGGAATAAAAGCAGCAAGCAAGAATCCAATTGACGAAATAATAACAGTATTTATTCTGCTAAATGAAGTACATTAAGCAAATGACCGAGCACAACCCTTGCACCTATTAGGCGACACAAGCCGATGCCTACAGAAGGAAATGCGACCACCAGGCATGAGTCCAAAATTGACCTAGCCTCTCCATGGAACGGCCAGTTTCCCATTTGCTTCTGTTGAGAGGGTTACACAGACTTCGCGATTTTGTCTGTATCTTGCTAAATTGTTGAAAACTGGGGATGAGGTGTGAACTATGCAGTAGGGATGGTACCGGGTACAGGATACCCGGGTACCCGGGTGGGTTACTGGTTTTTCTTGTACCCGCCAACCCAGGTACCCGCCAACTCTTGTACCAGGGTAAGCGGGTAAGGGTACGTTCTCGGGTATAGGTACAGTCGGGTACCCGGGTTATCCGGGTACTGCCAGTACCCGGTCCGGGTACGGACCCGGGTACTGCGCAATTGACCAGCCGTCATTCGGTGCGTTGCTTCGCACCGCGTCGGTTTCCGCGAAGGTCACCACACTGTGTGTGGCTGTGTCCGCCACAAAATGGCTAGAGTGGGAGGCCGAACGTTGGCTTCCACTCCCGCTTTGCTGCCACTCGCGGCCACCGATTGGTGCCACTCGCCGGTGCCCTGATTGGCATCCCCGAGAGGCATCAATCGGCGCCCACGAGGGGGGCGGATGCCAAAAGGTCAACAACGACCTGCGCGGCGCCCAGAGCTTGCGCAAAACACGCATTGGGACAGCAGGAGTGGGAGGCCGAGCATTGGCTCCCACTCCCGCCCTTTTGCTCCTCGAGGCCACCGACTGTTGCCACCCGCGGGTGCCCTGATTGGCACCCGCGAGTGGCATCAACTGCCGCCCACAAGGGGCGACTGCCAAACGGCAGCCTGGGCGGGGACAAAACATGGGCGCAAAACACACCACAAAACGGCGGGAGAGGGAGGCCGAACGTCACCTCCCACTCCAGCCACTTTCGCTCCTCGCGGCCGCCGAACGGTGCCACTCGCAGGTGCCCTGATTGGCACCCGCGAGTGGCATCAATCGAGGCCCCAAGAAGCCAAAGTGGCACCACGCTTTGCCATGCATGAGCGGAGATCCGATGCAGATCTCGTGCCTCCCACGCCCCTCCCGGGGAGGCCTGGTGCCCCCCCCCTTTCGCGGACGTACCGTCCGTCTGTACGCGAAATAACATGTTCGCAGAAACGGACGGGCGCCACCACCTCCGTCCGCACACTTTGCACCGTTCGCAGCGTCGTCGTCGAGGACTCCGTTAGACAGAATCCGGTCAAGCGCGCGGCAAACCGGTTTCCGTACCCGGGTACATACCCGGACCAGGGTGCTGGTTGTACCCAGGTACCCGGTTATTCGTGATAACCCCGGTATCGAGTGTACCCGGGTTACCCGGGTACACCCGGGTACCCAACTTCTGGAAACTCCGGGTACCCGGGTCCGGATTTCTCAGCCCGGGTACCATCCCTACTATGCGGCAATGTTGTCATAATCTGCGGCAAGGTTGACAACTCGTGTGGAATGAACCATCTTTCTGGAACCATTTCTCAATTGCCAACTTTCAGAATACCGTTTCTGTTGAGATGTTCCAACACATCTCAAGACGTTTTGTGACCTCTCAAGGCAAGTGGTGGCAATGCATCAACAACGCCAGCATTGTGGAATCCGAATCCATAAGGGATACAAGGAAAAGCCGTCTGCTATAAACTGCTCACCCTGACTTGCTGTCGCCTGTAGCCACTCCATCACAGCGGATCTGGACGCCTCGATGACTTCGGAATCAAGGCCCAGCTGTTGAGGAAAGAACAGTGAGTGGGCAGTGGAGTGCAGAACAAAATGATGACAAACTCTGCGACTACCTGCACCGCTAAAGAACTGCAGTGGCGACGCAGTTGCTTGAAAGCGTGTTGAATTGAGGCAAACTTATGAAATTCCTGAAATTCCTGTACCGAAACTGCAACAAATCACTTTGAAGAACTAGAAGCAAATACAGATATATAAAGATTTGTGCACAGCACTGCAAATGATGAACAAACTGCACATATAGCAGGAGCTGAACTATGCAGCAAATTGTTGCCATTGAAGTTGTTGTCAGACAATACCCAGCATGGAATGCACACAAAACGCAGCGATGCAAAATACAGAGCACAACATAGATTGGAACAAAGTGCAGTGCCCTCAGATCGGTGAGAGATTTGTCATCCAATTTCTCAGTGTTGCCACAGTACAAGGCAATTTGCAAACTAGTGAATGTGACGTCTTGGAGGGGCCAGGCGCCAAAGATGGCCAGGCCTCAGTCACCCACGGGCCCCAAGTCACGGAGACCAGGTTGCACTTGTCCCCAAGACATATGCATATAGAAGAGATTTTAAACATGGTCCATTTGCAGTGTGTAAAATTGCAATTGAGTTTGGGAGTCTAATTCGATTGCACAAACGAGGTAAGAATCGTGCAGTCGCGTTAGCAGCGCTTTTACATATTTGTTCGCATGTAAGAGTGTTTCACCTTTCTGCTTTCCTGTTGCACATCTTTGATCTTCACTTCCACAGCCGCCTTTTCATTTTCTTTCTCCTGGGCCTACGGAAATTCAGCAACAAAAAACCCTTCAGGCTAGAGCGTCACCAGTACTGTACTTTGGCAAGTTGATACTTATCAATCATGAAGCGCCATAACGGCAAACAACGCAAAGTAGCAAAACAACAAGTTGAACATCTACCCAATAGGCAAAGAGAAAATCCAGAACTTATGCAGTTCATACTACATTTCAATATTCTTGCAGCACTTTATATAAGCCATAGGAGATCTGCCCAAAATCTTGTATTCTGTTCAGCACTAAACAGCAACTCACATCATCATTTCGATGCCAGTTTTCTCCTTGGCTTTAGCAAGATGGCCGATGCCATTTGATTGGTTGGCATCGCACCACCACATCCAACCGGGCACCAATCAGCTCTTCTCCGCTGACCTTTGATCACATGGCTCCATTCCACAGCACAGCCATGAATTTTGAATTCCATGGATCTGCCATGTCAGTCAATGCTGTGCCAGCTCCCACAAGTCATCGTTTGTAGGGATTCCAAAAACTGCTGTGCGATCGTGACAGCTGCATGTGATTCTGTTCAAGCCAGAGTGCCCAGCACCACGCCAACGTCACACCTGACTGGCCAGCAGATTGCAGCAAGCAGCTTTTTACCACTGAGCACCCTCTTTCCCCTTCAGCCAACGGTCAAGATTCTTCAGCTGGTACTCCCAAATGGGTGGTGTCATGCCATACCTCCGCCTGCTTCTCTTGAGCGAGCATCTCCAGCTCCTTCAGATCTCTCTCCGCCGCAGTCACTGCAGTGGCAGCTTCATACATGCTGTCTTCCATCTTCTGAACTTCCTCTGCAACACTTGCTGCTTCATTATGGCTGTGAAAAGCAATGGGACAAACAAACAATTTTGCATCAATTACACACACTATTGAAAGTGTACTAGAGCTGTCCAGGATGATTTTGTGTGAAAACAATCAACAAAAAGGTATATCCTGGCATATCCATGGCTACCGTGTCCGGCACAGGTAGCAAGCACACACAGCACAACATAGTACTGGACATTAACACTACAGTGAGGTACACAACACAAAGCACAATACAGTACGGTATAGTACAGTACAGCACACTTAGTGCAGTGCAGAACGGTACAGTACAGCACAGCACAGCACAGTACCATACAGAACAACACTGTACAATACAATACAGCACAGTACAGCATATTACAGTATGCAGTGCAGTGCAGCACTGCATTCGATCAACGTGTTGAAGTGTGCAGAATGGATAGTGTAAGAGCCAATGGTGTGAAGGTCAGTGCAGCAATAGGTGAGTGACATTTCGTTCGTGCAGAATGACGTGTTGCTCAATGTCTACTGTGCTCACCTTCTCTTGTACTCCAATTTCACTTCCTCAAGCCGTTTGCTGGCGTCTTCGAGCTCAATTTGAGATGCCTCAACCTGAACACCAGAACATGGATGATGCAATGCTTTAACCACAGTCAGAGCTGAGCTGTGTTGAATACCTTTTGGACCACGCATCCGTCCAAAGAGGCTAAAATTGTTCAGCCCACAAAGTGGAGAGATTTGCCCCATTCAATGCCCTCATCTTTTCTGTTCACAAAATGGACTCTCAGTATTCAACATGTGCCATGAATAAAATGGACTGTGCAGTCAGAACAACTGTGAAGAGATGTTGATGACTTGCATCTCTTATTGGCAGATTATTTGGCAAGTGCTTTGCGCAGTGCACAACGCGATGTGACTCAAATACTCCCGACCACAGGATGATTTTTTTTTTCTGACGACCTCAAGGAAGATGTTACCCAGCAGAGAGCACAACATCCTGGAGGGTGTAAAGGCTAGAATTGCAATGGCATCGCCGCGATGGACAGGTCAATTGGCACCAGTTATTACAAAGGACGAAGCATCAGTGTCAAGCAATGGTCGCACCCCCATTAAGCAGCGTATTCACATTTTATTATGCACCCTGCTGATAAGGCATGAGTTTTGTCTCTTCTTCGAATTTCGAATACGCTGCTGTGTGGGGTGGTGCCCATTGTGTGACAATAGAAGTGCCTTCAAGGCATCTACATCGTTGCCTTGTAGGTCACAAAGCCCAGGGGATGTAAAATGCCTGAACTGCTCTCTCCCTTCTATAACAAGATTCATGACAAAGCTAGATGTTTGGCACTGTGAAAGCACTGCAGAAAGCGATGCAGATGATGACCCCTAGCACACTGATTGGATCATGCGTTGCTGGGCTGCTGCTGTCCCCGTTGTCGCAGGTACAAGGCCATTGTGTCGTCGCATGTCTTTGACAATTACAGCAAGCAGAATTCACAGTGTAAAAGGGTATGCCGGTGAGCCACGCACAATTGTGGATAAACAGGCAGGAATAACTTGAACCAAATGAGGTGCCACCTTCTATTTTTGTTGCGTGCTTTCATCTGCCACAATCGAATATATCCACAATACTTTGCAATTCTGTGAGTGCAACTCATGTTGGGGTTTTAAAATCTACTTCATTGACAATATCCATTTCTCAAGTATTGGCACCATCTATTTATGAAGCACCTTTTGCGTTCTTGCCAAAAGGTGTCATCTATCTACATTATCTATTATACAACTCCTATCTGCACAACTGTCATTGGCATCGTGGGAACAGCAGAAGATTGTATTTGTGCAATATTGCTGGTACGCCTGCAACAAATTTGTACCAGTCTTCCATTCCATTCACCTGCCAGAATGGCATGGAACAAAAGAAACTAAAACATTCTTATTTGCAGGGGTGCCCGCTCTGTGAGAGCTCCTTTTTCGAACAAAAGCATCACCATGCACCTCTCTCTTCTTCTGGCGGATTGAATCATCAAGGTCGTTGATGGCCATGCTCATTTCAGCAACAGCGCCTTCTCCAGTATTCTCCACAGCAGGGCCAGTGGTGGTCAACATATCAACTTGGGACTCCAGATGGAACGTGGAGTTCTCCACCTGAGAAAAGGCGGCACATGGGTCGAACATGGGCCAGCACTAAATTGGGAATCAGACAGAAATAGGTTGGGAGTGGTCCGAGAACAAGCTTGGAATATGTCAAGAGCAGCAATGCAGCTTTCATAAACTGCCAGCATGCATCATAGAGGTCTCCTACCTTGGCAAAGTGGGTCAGGAACAGGTAAGAGCTTAATAGCCAAGTTTAAATACCTTTTGATTAGTTTAATACTGCTTCGTTTAATACTGCTTGTAGTTCCAAATACTAATGCAGAAAGGAACATTTGGGTAGAAGTCGGAACTACCGTATTTTGGAAACTGCAAAGGCAGGCATTTCGAATGCACACCACCACAAGCCCCCTCTCCAACCACTTCCTAAATAAACTCCCCCTTCCTGGAGTATTGCAGTTCCTGTGCCCCACCTGGGTGCTGGTCTGAAAAGCTCGGTCCTTTTGCTCCCTTGCCTTCTGCAGCTCTCTCAGCAAGCCGCATTTTTCATCCTTGATACAAAAGCACAATACAAAAATATAAATACACACTCGTACTGATAGATCCTGGTACACATGCATCTTAATGCAAGAACATCCTTGTCTCACAACAAATGTCTCCTTTGGAATAGCTATATCCTCACATAAATGAGATCCATTGCTCCAACTAACATCAGAAGTGCAGACATAAGGTGCTGAAACGCCCAAGGGCAGCTGAAAACACAAAAGCAAGTCTCTTCCCAGCTCCATTCTACACCAGCCAAAAGGACACTTGTTACAGTGACAAATCGCCGATCAGACGGCAGTCACCAATTGAGCTTTTAGGAGCCCGTTTTGATGGCCCCTGCCTCATTAGCATGAGTGCACCAAGGTTCAGTCAATATGGCACTATGAGTTCTCCAAGCATAGCCTTGGTGCACTGGCTGGAAGAGAACCCCCACACCATGCGATTTTGGCTTTTTCTCGTGACATGAAAGGGATCTTTTTGTGACCTGAGTCGTGGGGAGTCTAAGCACTGTCAGCTTTTCATTACTTTGAATTTTGATCTAAATTTCATATACCATACGTCATAATCACAACTTCGTATGTGAAAGAACCTCAATGAATATCTGAACAGGTTTTAACACAACAGCAGTGCTGCAAACTGCCCACCCACCTCCAAAGCTTGGAGTTCAGCAATCGCATCCATTCTGTGCTGCTGTAGTTCCTGTATTGACTCGCTCATGTCTTTGCCCAGCGTTGCCGTTAAGCTTAGCCCAGAGTGAACAGTGGCCTGCGAGCCACATGCATCCTCAAGTCACTTTGTATTTAAATCGCTCTGCAATTCAATGGGCTTCAATGAAGCTCTGTCTCAAGTTGCTGGAGCATGAAGTAGTAGAAGCAGTTACCAACAGTCCACATTGCTGTGTGTGCTATGGCGAAAAACAGTATTGATCAGTGTCCTCACACGTACAAGGCAAGCATATCCAGTGAGCATGGTGCATGCATTGTACATGAGTATTCTCAGTATTCCATACTACTTTATGTACGTAGTTGCGAAACTTGTTGTATACAATGTCTGATGCACAGCGTTGTCAGAGCCCAATGCCTAGAAAAGCAATGAGTAAAGAGAAACAAAAGATCAGAACACTGTGGGAACCAAGGTGTGGCGGGAACAACATTTGTCACACTAGTCACTAATATATTAGCATCATGTGGGTAACATGTGGTTCTGAATAACTTGTCAGTATTCAGAACCAACACAGCAGACAGCAGAAGTGCCAATGGTGCAAACAATGCACCTTGCCACAAATACTCCACAGTCCAATGACCATAAGAGAGGAACAACCATGTGCTAAGAATGCAGAGTCCGGCAAGGCAAAGTCAACAGAGCCTCATATCATCCAGTAGGCCACATGTCACTGACATGGAAGTTGCACCCACTTCCATGTTGCCCTTCTTGTAGACCTTGCGGCCATCTGGCAAGAATACGCATGACAACTGGCGCCCTGCGTGCCCCCGAATGGCACTAAATGCCATCGACTCCTGTTTGCACAACCCGACGGCTTCTATGTTCCCGTAGTCGATCAGAATGTTCTGGACGATGTGCCACTTGGGGATTTTTGTGATTTTAAGCACCTGTTCCAAAATACAGACGCTGGTTGGTCAGGTGACGTTATAATTGTACATGCAACCATGACCAGGTCCCAACCATTGAGTTGTACACATCAACAAAAGGCTACACCAAACAGAAGGGACCCCTGCCAGCACCCCTCAATAACAAAACACAGCACAAGTTTCCTTTCCATTCCCTGTGAACCCCCCTTGCCCATACTTGATGCAAACTGGCTGTGTAAGAAATGCATGAGGGACCTACACTTGAACACATTGGTAGTGGGGAAACTAGTCTTCCCACCACATGAATACAAAAGTACTGTTGCACACATCCAATAGGCTTGATTCTGCATTCCTCAGAATTGACAAAAGACTGCCCTACTTCCATTTCTGTGGCTATGGCAGGCACTTTGGCAGCCCAGAACTTCAGCCTGAGCTTTCAAGCACAGCCCTGGGATCAGGCTTCCTGGCCCTCTATCTCGCAGCACAGATCGCGCAACATCACTTATGGCCATGTGCTTACACACTAATGGTGTTGAAGGAGTTACTCATGGACATTTCTGGAGCAAGGCAAGATACACAAGGAGCATCGAGTAAAAAAAAGCGAACAACTGTGGCAGTTTAAACTGGAGAGTCAGCACCAGCTATCAGATGTTTGATTGTTCCTTCCATCCCCACACACCTCATATTTTGGTTTTGCAACAGCAAGCAACATGCATGGCACCACTGCACAGCAGACATACAGGAGCATGCTATATGCTCTGGAGTACCGGATTACATACTCTGCCACTGCAAAATCTAAACTCTTTTCGCATCATGCATCGGTGTTTGAGTTCGTCATATCACACCACTGCTGTTCTTCATTTGTTGTGACACTCACATCAAGAACCGTCTGCACGCCTTCAGGAAGTGCAAGATGCCGGACATCGCTGTATGGTGGCCTGTCAAAGCTGTAGTTGTAGCACTGCACGGTGTTGGTCAGCGCTCTGTTATTTAAAGAATGCATAATGCGCTGCAATCGACAGCACACAATCCCACCGTGAGATGGAAATAAACTGCACAGCATGGCACTTTTCTTATCGTGCAGCTCATTCGAAGGATGGCATAATGTCTGAGCACATGTGCACATTCGGTAGACAGACCAATGTTGGACACTAGCAATGCCTGCCAGCACTTGAAAAGGCAGTGCTTTGGCTGTGGTTCAAAGGTGACCAGGGGGCACTCAATCTGACGATGTGGAAATAGAGAAACGAACCTGAAGAAGCATCAGCACCAGCATCGTACACTGCAGAATGAAAGAAGCACAGTGCAAAACCCACCCATTGCATTCGCACATGGATTACAACATCTGGTCCTGTGTACCTGGCATGTTGGGTATGCAGAGATATTACTGGGGCTGCTAAGAAGGCCTCAACAGGCAATAAAGAGCAAGGATGCGCTGCACATGGCCTTGACAGCGTTGTGCCATAACCATTGGCCTATCATCTGCAAGTGCACTGATTTGTCAGTTTCAATTGAAGGGGTCAATGCAAACTGACGCAGCTGTGTTGTAAGCAGTACACTATACCACTTCCAGCAAGACAATGTGTTAGCCTCACACGCACTTAAATTTACCTCAACCCTGGAGTTGCAGCATGCAACAGGATTGAGCCCCTAAGGCCGATGCAAACCCTGGAGAAATCTGTGACCACTCCTAGTATTTGCAGCACATCGGGGTAGCAGCACAACTTGCAACAGTTTCAACAGGAAAACAGGACACGGGGATGTTGTCCACATCGTCTAAAGTGACAACTGCCTAGTCATGCTGCGTCCATATTCAAGACAAAAGATCTTTAGATCTCTGACAGCATCTATTCCTTTTCCTTTGTGGCATTTGGCAGTCCATCGGACTGTCAACTGCCACGCAGGAGCCGCAATCTTCACAACCACACGTCATTCAGCTGATGAGCGCCCAGCATCGCCTCACAGGCCAAGAAGCAATGTGCTTTGTCATGGCAAGGAAGCAGGTGGGGATTTGCATGCAATCAAGGTGGATTCGCACACACCTTGAATACCATCTCATCATGCCTGTCAGACACGATGAAATTCCTGAACAGCTGGCCGATTGCATACTGGACTGCAAGGGCCATGTCCTTGCTGTCAAGGGACAGCAGCGATCCGATGGGGCCCAGCGGCGCATTGTGGAACTCCCTCTGAACAGAAGCAGCACAAACCACAATTTCACAAGCTTGTGACCTTGTTTGAAGGGAATGTAAAGCCACTAAAGCTCAGCAACAGCACTCCCCTACGCTATAGTGAAATAAGACAAAGCAGACACTGCAGTCTAATGTTCAGCCATGAGTGTCTGGATATCGACACACAACTAAAGTCGCCCTGATGATAGCCAGGTAAGCACCACTTGTTGTTTGCCCCATCCTTCCCTCAAGCAGAACTGCAAGCCACATGGGAAGAAACATGTTGTCCACCTTGTGTAAATCAATTCGCCGGACAAGTTCTACCATCGCCGGTCCACCAAAAATAGCTACCCTGTTGCCCTGGGCATTCTTGAGCTTCTCCAACTGCTGTTCTTTGTTGTGAACCTGCGAAAAGCAAGGCACAAATCAAAATTCTCATAGCCACTTGCCATCCTGGGTTCACTTGCCAGGGAGGGTGCTTCATACAACATGAATGGCACCCTCAAAGTTCATGGCACCCAGCCTGGAACAATGCAAAAGCCCCCAGGCCCCACACTGGAGATGCTGCCAATGCACAAAGAGTGATGCCTGCATCACCAACCAGCACAAGACCAGTACTTTGGTTCCCTTTTTCGGATTGCCTTTGCAAATCACGACTGTGTGCTGACTTGCACCTGTGCAGCAACAGCACGCAAAATTCTGCACAAGAACAATTGTGTCAAGAGCATCATGCCACCCCATGGGCACACCCCTCCTGAACAAAAGGATGGTGAGATACTGGGTCATGCCATTGAGATGATGCGCAAGGGGAGGATGACAACACACTTCACCAAGTGCGATTTTGTCCAGCTTGCATACTTGAATGCGTGTTCAGTGCCCTTAACTGAAGAAACCTGTGCTTTTAAGCATGCACCAAAGATGAACAGGGTTGCACTTTAAAGGCAGCAGAATATTGCTGCCCAACATGCAGGCCAGTGCCAGGAGACCCCACAACTCACATATTGCCTTGCTCTCGTCACTTCCTCAGCTACTCTGCTCACGTTTGCTTCTGCTACAGCGACAGCCTCCGCAAACTCGCTGCATGCAATAGAGAATCCGTGAGCTTTCTTATCAACAGCAGGCGTTGAGGCGCCGCATTGACGAGAGAAGTAAAATTCAATGGACCCGTCCTTGACAAAGTCTGCATGAATGATTGCGGCAATAGAGAAACACAATTGCCCAACACTGCTGGGCAATATGCTGGAGACACAGGAAGTTGTGAACTGCAAGCTAGCAAAACGGAGACAGTGTGTAGGGGAAATTGGAAGGATCAGACTCATGTTACATTGCCAGAATGGAAGAAAATACAAAACAGTTACAAAACAAAATTTCAGCTGTTGTTGGAAGACCCATGTTTAAGTCGGCACATTATCTGTACCGAGAACATACTGCCAAGAAACGTCTTGCCAGCAGCATAACTGCATAACTGCACAGACAATCGCTTCCCTAGTCACCTGGCTGCCTGTTTCGCCTTGATCATTTCTGCCTTGGACGCATTGTACTGCTCCTGTGCCTGGGACAGCTGCCTTTGATATTCCTGCTCAGCAGTCTGCAAGGCGAAGCCATGGTCCATACCCCGTCAACGTCTGCATTCGAACATTTCGAAAAGCAAAGAGCCCCGTAACTCTGCGAGGTTCCCCAGTTGGACAGCAACTCCACACAGGCGATGCCACCAGGGTCTTCAAGCCAAATTCATAGAAGGCTTCAAGTCCCAAGCTGTGCCTTTGCACTGTCTGGATACACCTGATCTCACTATCTTGACTTCCCCTTGTTTGCATTCTTTTGGCTATCCTTCAGTTTTGGTACTTTTGCAGAGAAGAGAGCGCAGGCATGCGGCCCCAACCCCTCCTACATTGAATTGGCACTCAGATTGACCCACCGCTCTACTTGCAGCAAAGTCTTCATGAAACGTTGCAAGCTGCTTTTCAATGCCCTTCTTCTCTTCCTCCATATTGGCAATATCTTTCGTCAGCCTGTCAATTGCATGTGCCTTCCTGGTTTTCATGTTAGTAAGAAACCTGAATACACCACGACGACTCTCAGCTGCAGCTACTGCTGCATTGCATCAACATAGCCCACATCAACAGCTTATGTTCGTTCTGGCAAAATATTGCACACGCTAGTCACAGTTCAGAATTTAGTGTCAGCTTCACTGCTAGTAATACACTAGTTCTAACTGTGCTGCTGCACACATCATCATCCTTCTCTGGACCATGTTCAGGTAGATCGGTAATCACATGGGCTACTTGTTGGCGGACACGACAGAACACTGTTGGGAGAAGCACCTGCATGGTAAGCGAGGCTCAAAAGTCACCCAATGGTGCCCATCAGGAACCTGCAGCCCATTTCAACAAACTTTGCACCCAAAGCTTGCTGGTCCTATTGGCGTCGACACCCGCGAAAGGTTGTTGGATACTGTTGGTATTTAAACCCTTCTGCCTATAAAGTAATGCTTGGCCTTTTCTTGCAGAGAAAACCATAAAAAATAACGCTCTTGAATAAAATTGGTGTAGAGCAACGTAACAAAAAATAGCGCTATGAAAACAAATGTGGAAGAAACAGCGTAACGGTAAAATTTTCATGCGCAAGGGTTGAATATACAACAGTAATACAAGCACAGCACCACAATCACGACCCAATGAGATGGATGCAACAGTGATTTGTCTGTCTGGCAAGAATGTCAACTGCATGGACACATGCCGAAAATGGAAGCCAGCCTCCACCATACTGCCAGCATTTGCACTTGTACCACCCATCCGCTTTTGTCTGTGCCCGCACTTTGTCTGCTCCTTCATCTGCTTTTTCAGCTCAGAAGCACCTGACACTCTCTCATGCAGTGCAGACAGGCGCTTGGCCTGCAGCATGCACGTGCACACAACTCAGCCCGTCGCTCGCCGTAATGCTAAAAGTTCATTTTGTGGCCATCTGAAATCGCTAGAAGACTGATTGCATGTGGAGCAGAGAAGAAACGAGCCACACAGCAGACATCAACTTCATGACTAAATAGACTGTGAAGTTAAATTCTTTTGCATTATGAGCGATGACACAGAAGTCTAACCTGTTCACAACAAAACCAGAAGAATCCAGCATTCTATGACACTCAAATTTGCATATCAACATTTTGGCTTGGTACTTTTTATTTTCTCCAGTATCTCATATTCCATTTGCTATGGGGTGGCATATGCACCTTTCGGCACAGAAGCTTAAGTTCCCTACTAGACGTTGTCAAGATGCAACTCATGCAAAGAACATGCCTGCACTCGATGTATGTACCACGCTGCCAACCAGTATGGCAGCAAATGTTCAAATTCCATTGAGCTCCAACGTCATGCACAGCTGCCAACAAGCCACTCCATACCTTGGGCTTTGGAAAAAGCAAAATTGCAGTCACTGGAGTCACACCCCAATACCAGTATCTTGTGTCTCAGATTAAAAGAAATTAGGTTCAGATCAAGACATGGTGTAAGTTGTACTGGCCAACTACAGTCAATTCAATCAATGATAAGAAATAGGCAGGGGTAATTGGTAGTGGAGCTCGTGATCTGCAGTCTGCACAGCAGGTGCTCAATGGCAACAGACTCAGGTGTGTTGACCATCATTGCCTGCGAAGTGCAAGGGCAGCATCATACTGGGGTACTGCCAGCTGCAACAGGGCCAGGGATTTCCTTTCGAAAGGCTACCACAGACACATACCTGGGTCTGTTGCCATCGTGCAGCTGCTGTGCAGACTGCAGACGCAAGGTCCCCTCCCAAATACCCCTGCCTGTTTGCCTATCATTCAATTAATTGACTGCAGTTTGCCAGTACGACTGATACCATCTAATGATCTGAACCTAATGGAGACACGTGCCACTGACATGGTGCCTTGCTTATGTTGCTGCAAAGGATACAGTCATTCACATTCAGTGGTTTCATGCACTTCAGGACAACATGCTCACCTCTGCTCCCTTCCTGTCCTTAAGCATGCGTATCTCTTCCCTTTTCTCGTCCCTGAGCCGCACAAGCTCCTTCAGACGAGGCTTTATCTCCTGGGTGCACTTCGCCTCCAGCTCTGCAAGCCGTTTCTCGAATTCTTTTTGCTACAAACAACACATAGCACAAAATAGTATGGCGAAATAAGCAAACCTGGCACAAATGCACACCTGCAGCGAGGATCGGCCATGGAGGCCAGTCGCCGCAGTCCATGGTATTCCTGCATGGTGATTGTTGTGGCTGCCTTGTTGGTGTCAGCTTCGAATTGTCAAGTGAATGGATTTCAACCAATGTTGACATGCCACACAGCAGCATCTGATTTGTGTGCCACTGCGACAGAAATGAGGGAGACCAATCTATTCTGGAAACACATTGATATGTTGTTATGCATTCCTTGGTTAATTCGATGACACCTATTTCCCTATGAGGGAAGCTTTAGCCCGAAGCAGAGGGACAGACTGCCACCAGTCAACCCCTTGATCGGCAATCAATCCATCTGGCCAGCGGTCGATGAGTCATATAATCATTGAATTGAACCGGGTGATTACCGAGACGTGCATGCAGCAGTTGAACATGGCCTCAATTCGTTCCGCTATGCCCTCCACTTGCTGTAGCTCCTCGACTCGTTGCCTCAAATCCTCAGCTTCTTTCCTCGCAGCCTGTCAGCCCGTGTTCCATACAACATTCAGAAGACACTGCAAGGAAGCAAACTGATGAAGAGATCGCACGAGCCAGATTATGCAGCTGTATTTCAACAATGAAACGCCTGAACAGCCATGTTCCTGTACGATGGAGGATTACGCTGGGTGGCACCATGTTTGCTGATGTTCCCGTCTTCAATCAGCGTCACAGCATCATGTTGCATCTGTACAATGTCACAGCCCGATTCACTGCATCCTGTACATATGAGTTTCCTGCCATAGCCCCAACTACATCAGGAAGGAGACAGGAACGGAATGAAACAAGACAAAACAGCCATGAAATGGTACATAACATTTGTGTGGATATGACAAGCGTTGTGCATGTTGCATCATGCAAGATGTCATGCATTGATGTGCGTCATAAAAGTAAGTTGTCACCAGCAGATGAAGGCAGATCTGTTCCGTGGCCTCAAAGTGACAGCAAGCACTTTCTATCCTTCCATAGTCCTTTTTCTCATATTTTCATTATTCGCTCAAGAGAATTGTCAACAGAAACGTTGTCCGCGTTGGATGTGAGCAGGGCACCAAGAATCGTGACCAGAAGTCAAGATCCATACTCAAATCAGCACTCTCCTAAATGCAGAAGCCCCTCTGCACGATCTTCCACTTCCCATCTCTTTGCCATGCACATAATGTCACATCAAAGATAACATAGATGGCACGTTTACCACTGGTTGGGCAGATGCATACGCGCGCAGTTCATGCCAGGCAATATGCACAGAAGAATGACACAGTGATGTTTTCCTTCTTAGACGTCTCCTGCTGGAATGATTGAAAGGCCTTTGCCAAGCCAAGCGAGCAGCCAACAACGAGTCTCCCCACCTCCACTTCCTTCCCTTGGAAATCAGAATCAGCCTTCATGTTCTCTTTATGGATCCGTGCATTCCTCAAGTTTTCCAGGGTATGCTCAAACTGGGTCGCCTTCATGTAGACCTTGAACAGGTTTCTTTCCAGCTGACTGCCAGAGGGCTTCAGAAACGTCCGGGCGAAGTCCTTCGAGTGCAGTTTCGAGAAAACGCTGGAATGAGCAATGGGAACGGCACTTCTTTTCGCACCTTGGTGTGGTAATCGATGAATGGCACGTCCACAATTGTCGCAAGTGTTAAGTCCTTGCAGTGAGGTATTGCACATGCTTGTTTTCAAACTGTTGCTGCTGTTGTAAAGGTGCAGGGGAGTTGCCACATGCGTTTGGCAATCTTGTTGCCAGGCACATTCACATGCCCATAAACAGTGGGCCGCTTTGACTACCAGCACCTTTCATGGCATCATCCTGCTTCTCCTTTATTAGGACAAGGGTGGCACCTAAACATTGAAATGTGATCTGATAGTCCGGAACAGATAGAGAAGAAATACTCCCAAAAGTGACCAGATTTGCAACTGGCACAATCCAGGGAGCATCCGTCCCGGTCAAGAAATTCAATTTTGATTTCTCATTCCCAAAATCATGAAAGCACTGCATGAAATCCTGACACCGCTGCATCTGCCTCAGGAGGGAGACTTAACATATGTTGGGCAGCTACACAATCGCATTCTTGTTAGTTTGTTTCCTCGTTGAATTTGCTCATGCACAGCCGGTGTGGCCACACAGCTGACACCTGACCCATATACGTCCTCCTGACAGCTATGGGGTTGCTGCAGTCAGTGCTCAATTGTCAAGATAAACAGATGGTAATACACATAGTACAGGTACAGTAGGGTACACAGGAGCATTGTACTGTGAGCACTGTGTGTTATGTGGCAATATTGTTCGCCAAATGGTGGCCCACCTGCGTCATGACGACTATTGGGTTGCTGCAGTCGATATTGAAGTGCCGAAGCATATCCTTGACGCTCTGCCAAAGCAGCAAAACAGCGCATCCCTGAATGGAGTTTTCCAGGACGTCACAAAATGTGACAAGTAAGGGGAACCAAAAAAAAACATCCCAGCTGTCATCAAGTTGTAGCCAAAAGCTCAGTCAGATGTTGATCAGCAAACCTACTTGTCATCCCCAGACCAGGTCTATCTGTTGCAGCTGCAACTGTGACACATCCATCAATTGGGGCAGCAACTCAGAAAGCATTTCAGCATTCCTGAGATGCACACCCTTTCTAACCAGGAACCGCATTCTCAGAGGCCCACCTCCGCCCCCTTCCCAATCGGAACACCCTTGGAGCTGAGCATGTGGTAGGTGCCACCCCCAGTGCGCAGCAGCTTGCGCTCCACAGTAATGACATCACCATACTTGTCATGCTCGAAGGCATCCTCAACGGGCGAATTCCAGAGACTCACACGGACTGTGCCTGAGGAGGTACCCTGGCAGTTGAAGACTGGGGTCAGTCCGATACATTGACAACAGAGCCACAATCGTCTTAGAGGAGCAGATACAGTGACTCACCATGTCTGTTCAAAATTATCACATTCGCGATTTATCCCAGTCAGCAAAAGGAAAATGACACGCCATACCTAAGTAACATAGCTTACATGGCCTTGTGATCGTCATTGCCATAGAAAGGATGCATTGACAGCACTAGATTAGAATTAGGAAAACTTGGACAAGAAATGAAATGCTTTTGGGAACAGATTCTGATGTTACAGTGACTGATACATGACCTTGCACTCAGAACATTTCTCGTTTCTCATTTCTCACAGCTCTGCCTGCATAAATAGCTCCTGTTTGCCAGAAACTGCAGAAACACTTGCCCACCAGTTCAATAAGGTCGTGCCTGGGAGCCCCCAAATACAGCACAGGAAAATCACAAAGGGAAACGAACAATAGACATGCAGCAACACTAGTTATATGTCTTAGCCCGCACAACGTGCAGGTTGTCCGCATGGCCCCCACCCAAAGCTCACCGTCTTCACATACTGCGACACATTGGTTCCTCTCCCTGTGTCACGGGCCTTGACAGCAAGGCAAATCTGCACCGCCTGGAGAATGGCGCTCTTTCCAGAACCATTCTGACCCGAAACAAAATTGACGTGTGGCCTGTTTGTTTCACGAGCAGTAAACTCCATTGTCACATGCAATTTGCCTGGGCTTCCATCCTTTGGTCTCAGGTCAGCAATGCTGTTTTTTCTTTGTTTGTTCTCCCACATGACAGCTGAGATTCTACGTTGCACATAGCTGGAGATTCACTATCACAGAACAGAGGCCACTGACAACAAGTTCTGAACACCCACATATTCTGATAAACAAAAACAGCAACAATACTTGGTGGTTGAACACTATGTGCCCCTTGGCTTGGGTCTACAAATTGTGTCGTTTTTCTCAATGTCAGCTGGTGCAGGGCAAGGTAACAGCAAAGTTTTGGAAAAAGAGAACAACCTCAATGCAAAACCTCCTTTTTCATTTTGATTCCACCTATGTCTAGGCTAGAAGGCCTTCCATTTCCAATCAGAGGTTTTTCAGGTAGTCCAAATTGCACCTAGTTATCATTGCAACTACTCGTGGGCACAACAATGCCAGCCGTCATTCCTATTTCATGGGGCAACGAACTCACCCGAAATGCACCTCAAAATGGTCATGGTTCATGAAATTGACCAGTTTGACAGATACGATCTGGCCCACATTGCCCATCTTCTCTGAGTGGGTCAGTTTCCATCCCTGCAGCGCACCAGGTGTCTGGTAGTCAGTTGCACCCACCACTATCTTTCCAATACATGGACGTCTTGGCCAATGTGCTCATCCATTGAACATTCCTATTTTCTTGGAACTAGGGTTTTGGGGTTGAACATAGCTGAGAAACTGGTGTTCCCGTTCAGTTCTTCCATCTGCTAATCCACTGATGATCTGAAAATGTGAGCATGCCATGGTTTTGGTCTGTGCAGAATGCATGGAATGCCGGTTCAGATGCCCTGCCAACCAAACTGCAATCGCCGCAAAGGTGTCTGTATGGTCTATCAGCGTCACAAAACTTCATCACGGGAATCGAAACCTTTTACACGGCCCTTCAAACACTGCACACTGGACTCCAGCCCCTCGGTGTGCTGAGTTTTTTTCTGTCTGCTTGTATACGTTCGATCCTAGGATTTCATGCCATTCAGCCAAAGGAGCCAATCGCTTTTGGCATGCAGTGTCGTGCACAGGACGCGAGCGAGGCGATGCGGCTTGCGCTGTGAACTTAGCACGCAAGGCAGCATCGTATAGTGAAGCCTGCCCTGTCCATAAATTGATGAAGCACCCAAAATCGGAATTTCAAGAGTCACGTTGGACTCTTTCATATCAGCAGCAAGTTTTCCTGCCGATAGTATCAGAAGCGACAGCATGTCCATCGCATGGACCCCGCCAACACTTTCTTACAAGGCCCTAGCCGAGATTTGGCAGGAAGTTGAGCTGCAGCCGCGGCCACTTGCAGCAGGGCTCCAGGCGCTTGCAAGCCTCCGCCCAAGGCCATTGCTGAACCGGTGGTTCAATCTCTGCGCTGACCAGGTGCAACACCCCGGGACACGGCCCCCTGGCCGGCATGTTTCAATAGCGCCTTTCGGCAACGCCATAGCGCGGCGCCAATTATCCGACGAGATAGAGGGCTAAGGATGCGGCCTGTGTCTGTGAGGATGCGGCACACTCCTGTTCGTTGAATGGCATACATTCTCGCTACATTCTCTGTACGAGGAAAAGGCGAGGCTGCCCGGTGACCTGCCCGCAATGAGCCTGATATTTGCGCTCCCGTCAGGGCTGTGCAGCCTCGCAACTCGCACACCAGACCGAACAACAGCACCGCACGGCGCGCGCAGCACGAATGCCTAATGACCAGCAAAGGGCGCAAGAGCTGCCTGTGAATGCGCGAGAGCAGTTCCGCCATTGCTTGCTTATAGACTCCCACGCCATCTTCGCCGCGCACGGGGCTACACCCCGCCAACAATCCACGCTCGCCAAAGCTGTGGCAAAGCGTGACTCGATTTCAACCCTGCCAAGAAGCCAACTGGAAAGGAGCGGTGGTTCGGATGCGAAAATGGGTCCCACCTGCCGCGGCCCGACGGAGCGCTGGCTGTCCATCGAGCTCCCCGGCCGGCGCCTGGCGCCCCGCGCTGCCGATCGCCGGCCTCCTCCGCGACCGGCGGAGCGCCAGCGCGAGGAGTCAACAGAAGTGAGGCGATGGCGCGGGAAGGCCGAGGGCAGGAGGGGACGGGGGCGCTCGGGGAGCGCGAAAGTGGTTGCTGGCGCGAAGGTGAAGTTTCTGGCAGTTTTCAGACAATGCGATGAGGGGCAGGCAACGGACTAGGGCGGCCGAAGCTGTAGACTTCTGTGGACCTTGGTGCCGAAATCCATGTTTGACAGGCTCGCCGTCGGCCAAGCACCCTCAAGCGCAAAGATTGAAAGAGTGTCTGTCCTTGCTGTTGCACTAGTCCAGACTAGTCCGTCACCATCTGCCGGTTGTCCACGAGTCGCCCATTGGGTGATGTAACAACACGACTGAAGACAGATATAACAGTGAGAAGGAATCTGAACAGTGACAGCAAAGTGACTCGTGGGATATTCTTTAGTCGTTCCGGCGAATCTGCGTCGCTTCATCATCAAGATGCTGAGAGACAGGAGCTTGCAATGTCAGAAATGTCCACAATCAGGGAAGTGGGCGGTACTTGTGCAACAGATGGACACACAATGGCTCCCACAAAGGATAGATAAATATAAAACGGATTGGAAAAGGTATACAAATGGTCCCAACATGCCCACAACATAACTGCAAACACGTGCAGGAGGGGATGGCAGAGCATGCCCCCATTGGAACTGTACCGACTCTGAAACAGCCTTGGGAATGCAGAGCAACAGTAATGTCCAACAAATAATGCAGGAGTTGCAACCCATTATGCAAGGTTATCATCGCCTAATTGAATCACCAACGTTGCCGTTGGGCATGTGAGTGTACACCCCATGGCATAGCTGCATGTTAACATAGCACTGCATGTTGGGGTCATTGCTAGACTGGAACACTCTAATTTCTGCGAACACAACTCGAAGCATGGCAGCAATCAACACATCAACCTGCCAACACCAACAACAGCAGTTCAGCATGGTGGCTTATTACACAAATGCTAGCCAGGGCCCACCATCACCCAAAAAATGTTCCCATCCAGAGGCACTCGACACGCACAAGTTATTGCCCATGTTATCACCATTCCAAGGCCCCACCCTTGTTATCCCTGCAGCCTGAATCCTCTGCCACAGACAACGCATCAATGTCCAGGCTTCTCAGGGTTTTCACTTCATTTCTTCTTGCCAATTTCCTGCCTTCTTACTGCAATCTCCTGAAACCTTCCAGTGTGCTGTCATTCTGCTTGCGCATGCCATGAAAGCGACTTTTGGGGAACTGCAGTACATGGACATACAACTTGAGCAACAAGAGCAACCACACTCTGCCCAATAGAAGACACTGTGTCACAACCATCCTGTCGCCCAGATGCCAGAGGACAGGGCCTTGCTGGCCTACAACCACATTCCTTTTGGGCTACCAGGTGGTCTTGGGGCAGAAGAGGAAGGGGCAGGGTCGCTCTTGTCATGGCGAGTAAAGATCTCATCATCGACAAGGTCCTGTCTGGCCTGCACCACTTTCATCAGGCCCTTCCACGGATCCCCCCACATGGACTTCTTCACATACGGTGTCGCATTGATTCTCTCCCTGCAGGTGCAAGAACAAGAGCTCTGTACGCCTGCAAATTCAGGTGTCTCATAAGGTTCCAACAATTTGGGGGGATAATGCATGCTACCCACAGTGACGTGCCACACTGAGAGCAAGAAGGGAATAATCGAAAGATGCTGTGGAGACAACAATGCATACAAGGGAGAATTCTGTCCGCTGGGGCAAAATTAATCTGAATAAAGGCCTTTAAACCACTTTAATGATAAAATATCGAACCCCTTCGGTGTCTCAATAGCAGCGGCACTTCAACATATCACTGAATGGGTCATTTCAGATGCCTGTCATATGTTACACTGTGTGCACACTCAGAGGTGAGCAATGCTAACCACGGTTGGTGCGTTGGTTGGAAGCAACAGTCTTCATGCACAACAGGAATAGCATGCAACACATATGGTGCAGACCAGAGCCACCTTCGTGCATCAGGTGCCCAAGGCCTTGAATACCTTCCATCCTTTTGTGCAGCAAGAAAACAATGACTTGACAGGCCTCAGCGACCATTGCACAGAAAACAAAACGCGCAGAATGCAGCACACCCATGAACCCTACGTCATGCAAATTTGAACAAATTACTGCGACATCACCATTCTGCAATTCTCCTTCATCCCAACATCACTTGCAAGCCAACAGCAATCAGTGCGCCAAACCTAAGCGCCGTGCTGCACATTCCCAGGCCAACGATTTTTCTGAGATAGTGTGGGTCTTGGGCTATTGTACATTGGTTCCTTTCAGTGGCTGTGAAAAAGTGGGAGACGCACTGTGGACATCCCATGGATGGGACATGACTTGCAATGTCAAAACCTTTGTATCAAAGGAATCCCACATCCATTGAAAAACTCTTTCCCAGGCCGCACCAGCCCTTGGGCTTCTTCTTTCCGCTCTTCATCCAGTGTGCCGACCGTGTCTGGTCCCCAGGGTCCCCTTCGCTGGATGTTGTCTCGTATTCGCTCTCAGATGCTGGGTCCCGTCCTTGTCCAAACGGCGCCGGGCCGCGACCCCATCTGCGGCCCCTCTGGCCGCCCCGCCAGCGGCCCCCCAAATTCGAACTCCGGCGTTCAAAATTCGAATCCCTCCAATGGCTTGCATGGTGCATCCCCCGCTGGCCAACTGGTGGGCCAGATCTGCCAAGTCTGCGCCCGTCACCCCCATGGGGATTGCCAAAGGCAGGCGGAACCTGGGGCCCAGCCACGGGGGTTGGCATTTGAGATGGGTAGGACACTTGTGGTGGCATGCCGTAGGGTGGGCAGGGCATGGGGTGCTGCCCACCTCGGCCGTGGAAGGGGAACCCGCGGGGCGGCGGGCCGTGAGGGGGCCCAGGGAGGGCTGGGGGACTGAATGGCAGGGTGAGGGGTGCTGTGCGGAAGTGTGGACCTGCAGGGTGTCAGTTTCAAACTCGAAGCAACAGTGAGGGCATGTTCAAAGGAGAGCCTGTCTGAGGAAGGCTGCACAGTGATGGCACACCGCGAGAAGGGGTGACACCCATTCGGAACACTTGAGAAACCAATGCTGAGTCCGCACTCACTGTGGCGATCTGGGATTTCCTGCCGGTCAAGTCTGTTTCGGTGTGCAGTTGTCACATAATGACAAGAAATCTGGAAGGCACGGGACCTGTCCATTGGCATGGTTTGGCGTGTGCGTGCAGTGCTGCGAGTCGGTGTCATGGCAGGCGTGACGTCAGCATGCTGAGAACAATCGCCCAGTTCCAGTGCAAGTGCAACGTCAATTTCTGTAGTGTATCAGTCTTGCTTGACAATGGCAGGTATTGTGCCCGATGGTTCAGTTGTCACAGTGGCAACCCAGTTCATCAATTGTGTTGGCCATTTCCAGAACCATCTAGCCCCAGGCACATGAACACAGATTGGTCTTTTTCTCTTTTGAGGTCCAAACACGACTTCTCAACATATGCAAATACGATCAGAGGAAATGCACTTGGGCAACAATGGGGTACCTTGTGGCCATTGCGATTGCTCTTGTGGAATGCGGTAGCCTGTGGTTGCAATGCCAATGGGTGGCTGATGGGCTCCAGGGCGTGGATGGGCCTCAAGCTTCTGGCGCTTCATGTCACCAAAGGGCACCCCTGCATGTCTGTCGCCATGCTGTGGAGCGACCTGTGGCTGAAACCCTGCCAGTGGGTCACTACACACAACCACGGAATGGCCACGACGCGTCAAGCAAAGCACCTTGCAAAATTCAACAACATGTCTGGCGCAAAAGTTGGAAACGTTGGCTTGCGCCCTATCCAGTATGTGGACAGCGCCAGAAGGAAACAGATTTAAAGATGCATGCACAGTCAGACACACATAGTTCGTGATGCAGCATGGGCATTTCATTAAAAGATGCACACTTAAGGAACCTATCTGGGAATCAATATGTAGGCAAGAAAACTGATTTAACAGCAACAGCAGACGACACAATCGAAGGCTGACACTGTCACATGGTCGGCACCATGGTCAAGCAAGTGGGCATACAATCGATAACATGCACAATATGCACATACTGGTGCACCTTCTTATTGCCATTATTGTTCGTAATCAGATGGCATAGAGGTCCAAAACTGAATGTCATCATGTCTCTGTCTCATGCTAATAAATTTCCACACATGTCCACAGCGTGCCGTCCTCTGCATGAAGTGCACCTGAAACCTCCAAACGCATATAAGAGTAGCACAGCATGTACATTGAGCAGCAAAGATTGCAATGTTGAATCCATTTGCCTGTATATCTCGGCATGCTGAACAATGCCCAGAGAGTGCCTGCACAGCCTGGCTGAACAAACCACTGCCTGATTGTGCATACAACCAAAGTTCAGTGATTCATCACCCTTTGATGCACAACAATAAGTGAAGATTCACATAGATGCACACCTGTAGAAGGAGAATTTAGTCTGGTATGACTGGGGGCAAGTGGAAGGCTGTGTTGATGGACTGTCGGCAAGAGGATTAGGAAGCTGCCCAACCCCTGCAGCCACGATAGTGGTCCAAAGTACAAGCAATCAACATTCCGGTCACATGATAGCACAAACACCCCTGAGACTAAGAAGGGCAGCTGTTTTGGCAGGCAAATGCCACAGTGCATCAATGTCCAGCATTTGCCACGGTGTTAATCAGCCACACAATGAAGCAAGCCACTGGACGCCACTATCTTGATATGTGGCACATGGGAGTTGCGCTCGGCTTTCAATTGCTTTTGGCACAGGCACAAGGCACGATCCCCTTTGGGGTTCTGCCCTTCAACACCTAGATCGTGTTTGGGCAATGCAGTGCTTTGTCAAGCCTTTCACACATGCAATCCAAACAGGTTCAAGCAGGGAGCATACTACATTGACATCAATGGTCCAGGGTCCCAAGGAGTAAATCGACATTGCCACATTCGTTAAGCATGACAAGCCCCAGCCCTTGCTCCTCCTCGGCCGTGTCGTGTGCCCACACTTGAGCAGTGGTTGTTCCTGAAATGGTTTCCGTCGCGTGCCTCCACGCCCACCTGGTTGTGGATCATTCTGTGTGGAGTTGGCTTGCTTCCTAAGAGCCGCCAGTCGCCTCCGCCGCTCAGCTGCCTCCTCCATACCGACCCAGCTCTGCCCTAAGACCAGCAGCAACAGGCAGCTGCTGCTTACAATCGATCCTTGGGGATCCCCCCGTCTGGGCAGGAAAAGGACAAGAACGACCTGAATTCGTGGGGCACAGTCATCCAACCAGACCAAACAATTCCTTGTGGCAAACTTGGCAATAGGGGGTGCGCTGCACCACCCACGAGAATGTTTGTCCCGTTCAATTCTGTTGTTTCTGGAAGTTGAACTTAAGGGAACGCGCACGCCGAGCACCGTTCCTGTAGTTGTGCGCAGGTCTATTGAAGGGGCACCACTACATTGAATTGAAGCGTGTCGCTGCTTCTTGGCCCAGTCCACCCTGTTCTGGCGGGCCCCTTCTTCTCTGGCTCGAATCACAAAATGCAAGAGCCTACAAGCGGCAGATCAATGTCTGCATTGCCCTTGCGTGCCGGAGAACCGGCCGCAGAGGGTCGTCGCAACACTGGGGAATGTGCCTACCTGCAACGCTGCCAGCTGCCGTTAGGAGTCCCGTTGGTCCTGTTGCGTTCTGCACCAACAGGCGCCGCATCACCAGCGGCGCCCTTGGAGTTGAGGGCAAAAGGGAAGGCCGTTTCCAGTCGTGAGATTGTTCTTGTCCTCGCAGGTTTGGCTGCTGTTGCCTCGGTTTCCCAGGGCGTATCCGTGTGGAGATTCGTGAAACCTTCACAGCCCCAGCCAGCGCCCGTGGTTGTGTCGCTTTTGCGTGTGCTCACTCTGGGGTTTGATGTGATTTGGGGATTCGTGCGTTGTTCATGGGCAACTCGTGTCTATGCGAAGACATCACAAGTTGCTGGGGGTTGCCTTGAGACCTTGGGATGTGCTTGCCCCGAATCCAAGGAAGTGGAGATGGCTATTGCCTATGCTTTTGTAAGGGAGAGGCATGTATCAGAAAATCAATGACACGAGGCGAGCAGAAGCTCAGCCAGCGGCGTGACACAACCTTAGGGTAATTGATGAGCTCGCATGCTAATGTTGGATTGCAGCGACTGAAGTGGCCTCTTTGCCGTTTTGGGCCGCTTGCATTGTGCAGCCATCGACCCACACTGTATATCATTGAATGGGACCATGCAAGCAGTGAGGCTGCCCTCCAGACTTTCTGACACAGTCATGGGCAGATTACGCCCGCGACTCACGGAAAGTTAAAATTTCTCACCAAGCGATGGTACAAGGGGCGATATGCGGGGTTACAACCGCACCCGGTACTCTGGATTTTCAGAAAACAGGCATGGGCGACATTGGCGCATATGCATTGCCTAGTTGCCTGGAGCTTGGAAATGCCACCGCCGTGGTAGCACCACAGTACACATGCAGCACATTCTCTTGTCCTGAACTCTCCCCAAGCATCAGCCCTGCGTCGGAAACAGCGTCCATTGGAGCCCTGCCATGTAATTCAAGTCCGCATCCAATTTCATTTGTCAATAGTTCCCCAAGCAATTCCCCGACGGCTGGAAGGCGACCGGGCACAATTCCATCCGTGATGATGTTCAGTTTCGGAATGTTTACACTTCCCCATTGCAGAAGCCTGCTATGCGCCCCACAAGGTTAATGCAAACCACAGCGAAGGTCACCAAGCCTTCCAGTACCCTCCTAGTGGTCAAATCCCCACCCCCCACCCCCCCACACACCCACACCCACACCCACACCCACCCACACACACACTTATTGCATCATTTATGGCGGTTTTCGCCTGTACAGTGCTTCAAGAGAGCCTACGCACTGCAAACCGGGGCCACTTGCACTCGCTTGCACTCCTTCACACGATGCAGTACATTACCCTCTGCGGTTGGCTTCACTTGGATGACGCCAGTAAACACTTCCCACTCGGCAGCCCTCATAGAGATGACTCAACCCCCGCTCCACTGAAAATGCTCTTCAATTCGCCGCTTTTGTATAGGCTCACTGTGTCTGCACCACATGCAAAGTAGTCCGTGGCAGACTTTACACAGTGAGAAAATTTTCGTTCTTCATCTTGGTTACAATGCTGCAAAGCAATTGCTCTCTCCCATTGTACTTGTCGTCTTTGGCATACTACGTATCCACCATGGAAACTTTAGTTGTCAGTGAAATTTCTTCCAAAGTTCTGGCCATGAGTTTGAAGTATAATGTCAAACAATCAAGCCAATCGATTCAGCATTGCATTTTTGCCAGCACATTGTAGCAAAGTTTTGTGGCCAGAAAATATTGAATTTTTGATGTCGCTACGAAAAAGCCCATTCTTGTGCTTTTGAGGAGCATGCGTTGTGGCCGCGCTATATCACTTGCTAGATCCCACTCTTCGCCATGATGGAGACGACGACTCATTTTGCTATTCACAAGCGTGGAGCAGACAAGAACAGTAGGGGTCTCCGCTGGAGCTTCTCTAGGGAACACGAAGCGAATGCACATTCCTGGACCAGGCCAAGGCAATTTCGTGGACCGTTTACAGGGTGTAGGGCTGGCTTTGTCTTCAATATTTGCAGCTGAGGGTTTTGAAGCACACCCTTTCCGAATAGAACCCCCTTGTGTAATCCACGCGCTGTCTTTGTCACGAAACTCGTCTTCCGAATTGACGACAATCATTGTGGGACAGAGGAAGTACATATTCCTTATCGTCCCCCAAAATAATTGTCCTCTACGCGAAAGAGAGCTTCGCCACAAAATTGGCCTAAAATTTACAAAAGCAAGCCAAATCGGCAAGGTTGGAGTTCAAATGTCGATTTGCAGTCCGTGACATAAAAGCCAACCAAAAACCCTCTGGGCTGACCCCAAAGTCGCCTTTGCTTTGGCAATAGTGTGCATTCACATCAGCGATGTGAAGTCACTCTTCCGCTAGATATCCCCAAAGATCTGACCCGCTCCTGTCCCTGCATGCGGCCAGTGAAGTCGCTGCTGCTGGCGTGGATCGTTCTGTACCGGCCAAACTGTTTCGCCACCATGAAACGTCACTTGCTCCTCACATCGCGAAAACGACCATTTTCGCAGCGACATTCAAAACTTCAAGATTTTACAGCCCACACACACTTACAAATAGCCCTGTAAGCCCACAATGCCCAATGCATTGACTTGCATCTGGGAGCATATATTTGAACTCATGGCCGCAACTGTGAATGAAGCTTAAACAAAAACCGAATTTCTATGATGGTGAAGCGATGCACTAAAGTCATGGAGGACAAATTATTTTGGGGAAGAACAAGAATGACATCAAGCAGCATGACAAATAACTCCAGGACGACATTATCGCAAACAATCAGTGGGGCATCACGTTTATTGCAGCAAGGCAATAACAAGCAGGATGTTGAATCACCGCCTCGTGCTTGCTGCAATACACAGGCGCCGTTGACATCCACGTGTCTTTGCATTCCATGCATGCACCAAATAGCCACAAGTATTGCTGTTGTGATTTTGCAAGCTGCTCAGGACAAGTCACAAGAAATGAGCCAACCTCTGTCACAGAAAGGAAAATAGCGAAATGTGCAGCATCCTTTTGGTGACAAGTAGTGTCCCTAAGCACGTCCAAAATGATTGGCTCACCGTCACAGCCACCAACAAATTTGCCTCCCACAAACACTTGCGGGACGGTTGTTGAGTTTGTTATGTCGTACAGCGCGTCCTGAATATCGTCCCCCTCAACTGAAGCAGAGCACACAGGAATGCATGGGTCAAAACCGGATCAATCTTTTTGCCACACGTACCAGAGCACTTATCTATCTGTTCAGCACGCCAACAAATCAAAATGCGATGTGTGTCTTGACTTTTATCACTAAAGAGCCCATGTTGTTTTCAATTCTTACATTTTCAACAACAAAGGCAGAGACGGGGCAAAGCCACAGCGATGGATTTGAGGAGTGCTTCGTCAGGTTGTGTCTGAGTGGTGGTCTGCTGCATTCCCACCTATGTGATCCAGCTCCACCAGTGTGAAGTTAACATCCAGTTCCGCCAGCAGCTTCGTCACCTGGGGTGCAGCCACGCATCAGCTAACAAATTGGATGTTGAGCAATATTCGAACTTGCTGAAGGTCGTTGGACATGTTACTGGCACAGAAGATTGCAATTCGCACAGAAAAGGAAAAATACACCACCAACGGGATCCTCTCCTGCATAAGAGTTCTATGAGACTGTTTCCTGCATTGTCTGGAATATCTATTTGTGAAGAGCACTCTGAGTCCGGGGCTGGGGCCAGCGTTGTTTAATGAGCAAACCAGAAGATCTAACTCAAGGCCACTGCTAACTCATGACCACAGTTGTGTGAAGCTGCCTGAAGGATACTCTGGCGTATGGAAAGAATGAAGCCATCCCTGTCTGGGCCAACATCCATCTGTTGCATGAAACTGCGTCCTTTTGCTCACATTAAGTGTGGAGAATTGGCCCCAAAAGTTGGAAGAGAATCGGGAGTTATGGCTGACAGAACGGTCGACTGAGCTCCAATGGCTCCAGCTCATTAATTGTCCTTGGCTATTGCGGTGACAGAACATTGTCCATTGGCCCTCCGTGCACAGCAATTCCCATCACCCTCTCAGTGTGTACCCTTGAAGATCACTGCCACCATGCTCATGGTTGGAATTGCATTATGTGCCCCAAGATGTTGTCCGCTCTGAACCATGGCTATTGCAGTGAAGCCTGATACTCATTCCGCTCAATGCCTCTTGCTTCTAACATCCACAACCTAAGATGGCCCACCACTTGCGGTCTGTGGCGATTCTGTAATCGCACGATCTCCAGGGCGACTGACACCAGTCAAGAGGCAGCAATTCTTGACCAATGTCTGCTCTGTTTGATTCACCTATACATTGATTTGTCAGAAACGCGATATGTGACAAGTCATGTCTTGTTCCAGTATATGTCAATGCCATGTGCAGTGCAGTTACTGGACTCTGCGTTGCACCGACATCTCTGCCCTTGGCGCACAGGCATCTGGAGAAACTTGGCACAAGGAAACAGATCGCACCTCTTCACAGTATGGGCACCAAGACCGGGAGTAAACGATAACTTTGTTCTCCTCATTCTTCTGTCGCACGCTCTCTATCTACATCAACAAAAATCCGCAATCATAATCCAATCGACAGAGAGCATAACTCTCCTCAAATCAGAGATGAAAACAAGCAAATGAGGTTTGAATGGGCAATCGTGTTGTGATCACTGGGCGCAATGCGTGACCGGCCACAAGGGAATCTACGCAGCGGCCGCCTCACAAACGACAGTTCAGCTCTTCGGCGCACACTGCAGGCACTCTGCATGATTTGGTGGACCGAGGGAGTAAACAAGAAGCACACTTTCGAAGCAAGGACGCAGCATTTTTGTCGCTACACATCCTGAGTCACACATGAGGGTTCAATCAGTCGATGTTTGGCTCGACGTCCACGTGCGCAGAGCTCCACGGGCGCCTCTTCCCTCAAGACGCACCACACCGGACAGCGTTGACTAACAACGCGCCCCACGCGCCAACGAACGACCGATTCCTGATTTCCAATGCGTCGAACGCTCACCATTTCATTCCCGGCCGCGCTCGCCCACACTCCCAGCGCCACCCTGGACCCTGCCGAAAGAAGCGATCGGCCGATCCGGTCAGCGGCCTCTCCCGCCCCCAACACCACCTCGGTGCCCTTCCGCAATTTCCGCCTGCTCACGGCTCACAGCCCTGCGGAACGTCACGATCGTCCTCTCACCTCCGGATGCCAATCGACCGCGGCCAGCGCCGCCGCGCCTGTCGGCAGATCCCGTCGGCCGGATCGGCGCCGGGACGATCGACCCGCGCGCCAGTCGCCGTGCCGCTCCTCGAGAACTGGCGATGGCGACGCTGTCAAGCGCGGCCGCTGCGGAGGACGGGCGTAGCATGAGGGGGCACGAAGCCGGAGGGCGCACGCGGAATCGAGGGACGAGGTCTGAGCGCGCAGAGGAAGGCGGAACCAATAAGCGGAGGAAGAAAAGGCCTGGACAGAGCTGGGGCACCTGCACCACACTTGGCGAACTCTGTCCAGGCACCCCCAAGTCCCTGCCTGCAATTCGCTGATCCGATGATGTGCAAGTCTGCATTTATGTGCATCTGGGCCCCCTGCGTGGCACCCTGATTAGTCTCCTACTTTGGGGCCCCTACATAGTCTGCTCGATGTGTGTGAAGGGGGCCCGCAAGTGCGTTTCGCCCATGTTGCTGAGGCGGACTGCGCCGGGGGTGGTGGGCAGGCTGGCGAGGGGGCTCTCCGGGGGGCGGCCGCCGCGTGACGATAAGTTTGCACGGGTGACGCAGGAGGACGTGCAGTACTTCAGGGAGGCGCTGGGGGCCGGGGGACGGTTGGTGACCGATCGCGAGGGCCTGCAGGCGTTCAACAGGTGCCGAATGCCATCGACCCGAAGGGAGAACAATGAAGAACGACATGAATGCGCACACCCCCCCCAGTGACAACTTCCGTGAGGTTCTTCTGCACTCTGCAGGAGATGATGCAATGGGCACCCACTGCAGCGTGCGCAGTTCGCAGCGCAGAGCGCAGCTCGTGTTGGAATAGAATTTTCTGTTCAAGACGCGCGTCGCTGTTTCTTGCTGGCGCCGAGGTTCCTCCCCTAACGGTGCATCTCCAGTTTTTACCTGTTTTTGTTTGCATTTTAGAATATGCACAAGTTTCAGGCTTAATCCCACGTGTACTCACAAATCGTGACTGGAGCGGCGCGGTGGATGTTGGATTGAAGGCAACCTGTGCCCCTACCTTCCAGGTCCCAGCATCGTTAGCATGGATGGAAACACGTCATTGAGAACGTTGATTCAGAGAGCTGCCTGCAACAGGTGTTTCTCAAATCACGTGCTGTTGGACATTTGCGATTGGTCGTCCACAAGAAAAACACAGATTTATCTGCGCTCCAGTCGATTGGATGATCGAAGCAGCCCACATACGTCAAGCTTTTCAACTGATGTAGTTTGCCGTCTTGAATAAGGGTTTGACTTTTAAAGATACGCAAGATTAACACAGTCTGTCACAGCCAAGTTCGCACAGAGTCTACAGTTTCCTAACATGGAATAGCTGGCAGAACTCTCCTTCACATGATGACGATTCTTTTGCAAACCAGAATTGTGGCTGTGGGTAAGGTAAGCTGCACACTGTTGTTGTCACGGATCACCCGCCTAGCTGGTGCTCAGCATGACCAGTGCCTTTGCATGCAGGGATTGGCTTGGCAACTTCGAGGGCGCCACTTCAGTGGCAGTTTGCCCAACGTCCACACAGCAGGTGAATATCGCTCTCATTCTATGTACCATAATGTGAGAAAGCACTCCCCAGACACCTTGAAAGGTGGCAAATGGGCACTTATGCACCAACTTGAACGCACAAGTGTTGCATACAGAATATGTACTGATGCAAACTTATTCCTTCAATATGCACAAGTGACTCAGGCATATGAACATCGGAGTGGAAGTGAGTAGAGCATTTTATTATTGTCACTCTGTGTCAGCTGTTTGACAACAGCAGCCCACACATCTTTTGTGGACAATGTTGACCCCATTTCAGTGATGAGGTTCCTTTGGCCATTGCCATATTGAAATTTTGAAAGGAGTTGTGATCCTGTGTGATCTTGTTTCTCCTTTGTCACGTTGCCCAAATAAGGACAGCAGCATTTGAAATTTTTGTCGGTAGCACGTTGTGACAAACCCATCCTGGGCCTACAGCACCAGGCATGATTGTTGAACATGGAAAGGGGATAGGATCTGTTGCTCAGAACAATGTTCTTCAAAGCAGAAACAGAACTCCTTTGCCCTCTCTCCTGGAGTTAGGTGGTGCAGGGCGCACGAGTTTATGCTAGGATAGGTGTGGCACCTGGAATCTTGATTCTGATGTGAAGTTTTGGACTGGAATGGGAGAGAATTTTTACTGAAGGGGCAGAACGTCCCCTTCCTCACCTATTTGGCAATGGGGGCACCTGTGTGTTATTGTGAATTGAAGAAAACATCAAAGGATTTCCACCCATGCGTTCTTGGGCAGGTGTCCAAAGTTCTCTCCTACTGCAATGAGCGCTGCCTGGCTGTTGTTCCCCAAGGGGGCAACACGGGGCTGGTGGGTGGCAGTGTGCCAGTGCACGACGAAGTTGTGCTCAGCACATCAGCCATGGACAATATCATCAGCTTTGATGAGGTCAGCACCCCCTGTTGATTGTCTATTTACAGCAGAGGTGAACTAGAGTGGGCTGTCTTGATGGCAAAAGCACCACCTATCAACTTCTTGTGGAAATTGCAGGCAGCGGATGCCAGTAAAATTCATGGTGAGGGCAGGCAGCTGCCCCATCGCTGTATGTTCATTTTATACCCCATCACTAGTAAGTGTAGAGTACTGCCAGTTCTGCACTCGTAGTTTAGTTGATGTGTTGGATGGCATGAAGCCAAGTTTAAGCCAAGCTGCACTTGAGGATATTTGTGTTGCTCATGGAATATATATTTTGGCAAAGCATTCCCTCAGTGAGTGCTCTTGAAGTGTCACACAGTATACTTTCAATCCTGCAGTCAAAGAGTGCCAAACATGGTGAATTCTTCCGGCTGCCAAAGACAACCACAAACTCCAACATCGGGGTCTGCTTCAGAATGTCTGTTCAATTTGCATGACTCATAATGCACATTTGTGACAGTACTTGTGGCATTGATCCTCCTGCTCATCTCGTGGCCAGGTCAGCGGGATATTAAACTGCCAGTCCGGGTGCATATTGCAAGCCTTGGACACTTACTTGGCAGAGAGGGGCCACACGATGCCACTGGACCTGGGTGCTAAAGGTTCTTGCCAGATCGGTGGCAACGTGTCAACAAACGCTGGTGGGGCAGGGTGAGCTGACATTTATCTTCTTTCCCTGCTCTAAAGTACTGCATCACCTTTGAGAGTCCAGTTTGAGAGGTGTTTTAGGAACTCAGTGTACATTGCATGTGTTGATAGTACACAATGGACATGTTGCTGCCAAAGTTATTTGAGTTGCTGCATGGCTTTTGCTGCTCCAAATAGGTGCGCTGGCAGGAAATTGGCTCCTTGCATAATATTGCAGATGAATGCCATCATGATGGAGCTGCACTAAGTTTTCTGGTGGTGATGTAGGTGGTGTTAGATTGCTGCGGTATGGATCCCTGCACGGCAGCGTGCTGGGCCTGGAGGTGGTGCTTGCAAATGGCGAGGTGCTGGATTTGTGGCAAAGCCTCAGGAAGGACAACACTGGATATGACCTGAAGCAGCTCTTTATCGGGGCTGAGGGCACTCTGGGTGAGGCGGTAAGGAATGCAGTGGGCACATTCAAAGCCTTTGTTTCTGACAATGAGCAGGCACAGCACGAATGTGGGCAGACTATCACCATATCGGCATTGGCTAAGGCTGCAATCTTTCTTTGGGGACCAGATACCTTGTGTCCATTGATTGCCCAACAGATTGTGTTCCAGATCGATTGATCAACACAATCGAAATGTCGATGGCCACCAAAGGGCTTTTCGGTGTTTGTCATCGCTTTGTCTTATTTCACCCGATGCTTGGACTGATGGAGGTTTCAGTGGCACTCTATGTTTCTATTGCTTGATGACTGAACTGACAATGGCTGCAAGAATGCTCTGCATGTGCCCACAGTTGTTGCAAAGAAAATTTCGCTCCTCTGTGCACACGAGTCCCAGTGTATTAGTGAATAGCAGCTATTGACTTCACCAGATCATCCCAGTCAATCAGCTGAATCGATGGTAGGTTGCATATTTATATCCTCAATCTATTCTCTCAAACAGCTCTTGTGATGCCAAGCCCAAGAGTGTGGCTGCGGCTGCTGGCATTTTCCCTCTGCGCAGCCCTCATCTTCTCACAGTACAATTGAAGTCGCTTTGTTGGCAGCCTGCTCCACTCCAGGGCCAGGAACATTGACCTCCACGTGCCAATTACCACAAATGTGAGAGAACCTTGAAGAAGTTTACTTAGACAATGCAAAAGTGTTAATGAAATAATGAAAGTTGCTTTGACTACATCATTCTGACAAATGCATTCACAAGATTGACATAAGGTGATGCCTCCTGTGTGTATCTTTCTATGACTAACACTTGAAGGGATGACCACTACAGACAATGCCGCATGACTATCATATTCAACCAAAAATTCTTCAACTGCTCAATGCAAGAAACCATTTAATATGCATGTGCAGGCATCGTGATGTCAATGTCCCCCTTTCCTCACACCCTCCTCTCTGCCATCATCTTCACATTGTCCAAATCTTCCTCCAACATTTTTCCAGTCGCTACATTCATTAACTAACCAAATGCACACTACAAGCACATCACATCCATGTGAATCAGCACAGGCAGGATAGAATGCCATACATCTCCTGGCACTGCTTTGATCCCAAACACACGCCTTTGTATCAGGGTGGGGTGGGACGCGACATCCCAGATGCGGCACTAAGTTTTCGAATGGAACAAGCACAGGGGCACTCTGTTGTGTGGCTGCAGGCATCGTGACCGGGATGTCCCTCCTGTGCCCTGCCCGCCCCACCTCTGTCCAAGTCTCCTTTCTCTCCTGCAAATCCTTCCCTGACGTGCTGCACATCTTCCGACTTGCCAAGCAGCACCTGGGTGAGGTCCTGTCGGCTGTGGAGTTTCTGGACCGAGAGTCCCTGGTGACGGCACTTGAGCACATGCCGGGCATAAGGAACCCACTGCCAGATGGCACATCGCCATTTTACATGCTGGTGGAGACCTCAGGCAGCAGCGAGACACATGACAAAAACAAGGTGGAGGAGTTTCTGGCGGTGGGTGTCCCACACGTTGCCTCTTGCAAAGACGGACTCTTGGGCAGAGTGAGCGCAAGCCCTAAGCAATCCACTCTTCTGGAAGGGGGTCCTAAGATGAATGCAAGTATTTTGCCAGGCATAGTTGCGGGTAATGATGGTTTGCCATATGCCTCTTCAGTAAGAGGCATTCATCACAACTGTGCTGTTCACAACAAACGTACAGCTTGATGCTGCACACTCCTGGAGGGGAGTTTCCCAACATATACCCACATCTTTATGTGTGCCAAATGCATCATATCAGTATATATTTTGAATGTGCAAGAAGATGCCTGATGGATGAAGTTGCTTTTGGGAGTCCGCACACAACTGTGGACTTGTGTGCGGTACACTGTTGGCATAAACTGCATGATCGCAAGTCATCATCAGCAATCATTGCTCAGGATGATCATCGCATCCTGCATCGTCGTTATTTGTGTCAATCCTGCAACAACAGTGTGAAAAGTGCTGTGGACACATGCAATGGTTTCTTGCAGAGGCCTATAATTGCAAGCTCTGAGGTGTTGAACCATTTGTGCAATTTTCTGCAATTGGACTTGATTGGTGTGGCTGTTTGAACACTGCGAATAGTTCAACACCATGTTATGAAGCGCCAAGCTTGTGACGAACACCAGCGTCACGCTCCTTGCGTTGCAATAAACAGTAGCTGTGTTACTTGTATTCTCCACAAGATGGAAGACCTGGTCTTTTGCGCTGCCTTCCTGTGCGCAAAGGACGGATTCTCTCAGTACTGACTTGGTGAACCTGCGTTCAAACAGGAGGTGATGTCTGCGGGTCTGCTGGTTGATGGGGCCCTTGCACAGGACACCTCGCAGGCATCAAACATGTGGCGCGTGCGGGAGGGCGTGACAGAGGCGCTGGTGCGAAGGGGTATGTGGGACGCAGCCGTCAATTTCATTTGTCCATAATACATACATTAACAAAGCACTTAATGACCGTTGCCGACCCCCCTCCTTTGAAATGCAACGGCAGCAAAATTCAGTTGTTGAATTGTTAAGTTTAGTCATTCAGCTGCGTTGCTTTCGTAATCAGAAGCAGGTTACGTTTGTTTCCGTTTTCTGCTCTTTTTTTTGCTCTTGTTTTGCCTTGTACGCCACTTCATTTGGTTTTCCACTGTCTTGTTCCAGTGTTCCCCTTCCCTCGCCTTGTTCATCAGTTCATCGGTTCATTTGGGTTTTCCGCTCATGCTTGCCTTGTTCACTGGCGTGCTTCCTTTTAGTCTCGCTCCAATACCCACCTCTCGAATGCTTGGTGCGCAGGCAAGGTCTACAAATATGACGTTAGCCTGCCCCTCGCCGAGATGTATGCACTTGTAGAGGAGATGCGGGAGCGGCTGCCCGGCGACAGTATCCGCGTGGTGGGCTACGGCCACGTGGGAGACGGCAACCTACACTTGAACATATCAGACGCCCGCGGCAAGGAGCGGCAGGAAGTGAGGGAGGCCATCGAGCCGTTTGTGTACGAGTGGACGCGGGAGAGAAGGGGGAGCATTAGCGCGGAGCACGGGTTGGGGCTCATGAAGGCGGAGTGCATCAGGCGAGGAACCCCGCCACCCGTGTGTAAAGGGGAAGACTTGTACAGAGGGAGATTGTGTTTGTGTAAATAATGGTATCATAGCGTCCATTTATGCATATTTTCTGTGTGCATTGCGTTTGCAACTGTGGAGTGTATATTGGTGTCTTGTGGATTGAAATTGTGATGCTAATTATCGCAGTATTACCATGTAATGTAGGTGCTGTGTGTAACGCCCTTTCCACCCGGAAGAGTATTGTGTATGTTGCACTTTATGTCATTTTGTCCACTGTTATGTTATGAAGTAATGCGATGCTTAATTCGTGTGAAATTTTCTTATTACTTGCAAGTAAGAAGTATTTGATGGAAAAACTATGTGGCAATGATGGCGTTGTTGACGTGCCATCGCCTTTCCATTACATTCATGAAGTATTAGCACGACCATCGACCTGTCGTCAGCATCCATCCTCTTAGTAATCTCCTTCATTCTTCCTTCAGGTATTCCAAGCCAGAGGCGGCCGTGAGGATCATGGGTGCCGTGAAGAAGATGCTTGATCCAAAAGGAATCCTCAATCCGTACAAGGTGCTGCCACGGGATGTGGTGCACGAAGGTTGCTAGTGGCCGTGCGTCGATTTTCTTAACGGTGTGTAAAAGTCGCTTGATATCATGCCACAGGTGCTTGCAACGGTTGCAACGGCCTCGGGTTGAAGTATCGGTGGCTGGAATAGGGGAACAGGAAAGCGCCAAGACAACCTGGGGGATGCCGGGGCGTGCAGTTTTGACTCGGTTTCATGGCGCTCAAAAGAGGTCAAGGGCTCATGACGCCTTGTCCGTCGTCGAATAGACTACATGTGTTTGCAGTTGCCTGCAATTGCAGGCGGCACCGCGTGCCGTACACCGATGTGTCACCACATGCGCCGCCCGCCGACGTGTGTACCATTTGCAGCGATGTAACGTTGGCAGCGAGCCGACAGTGTGCACTATGCCAGCTGCAGCGGCACAAACCTACATGCAGCCGCTGTGCAACACATGCAGCCACGCAACAAGGGCAACAGGCCTGCAGCGTGCCCATGTTGCATTGTTCCACGTGGTGCACTGCCACAGTCGCCGGCAGGACAGGGGAAACGCTACTGCTGGAAAGTATGGCACAGGGCACAGTACTTCATAGTACTTAGTTTACCGTTTCTTCCCCGCACGGCGTTGATATTGAAAGAAGGCTGTCTGCCTGGGAGATGCGAAAGGGCAATTTGCACCACTTGCAAACCGCTTTACGTGAGATTTCCCCAAGTTGTGCTGCCTTTGGCACGCCTGATGGCTTCTGTTGAGCCCGGCGATTGCATTCTTGTGTCGATGAAACAATTCGTGACAAAATTGTGACAACACAGAAAAGCACTTCTGTACTTCGATGGAGAATGTGTGGCAGATGTTGCCACATTAGGAAAAGATCACTTGGTGAAGATGACGAAGGGGGAACAGGCAGGGCATGGCACATGGAGCATTGCGCCTACGTGTTTGGGATTCCGTTTTGGCAGCAGCATCGTAGACTGCCTGCTGCCTGCGCCAGGGGAGTGCATTCATCGACGGGAATGATGCGTATCAGAATGACGTCACAATTATATGGAATAGCACTTCGTTTCCTTTTACTTCGTTTTTCGCGAATGGCGACAAGATATGGCACATCAGAATTCTAGAGAAACGGCATATTATGACAATTGCGCGAACTCCTCGAACATCCTACCGCCCACCCCCGTGCATTCACCTCCTGCATGTGTCTGCCCGAGAAGGGAATGCCCCCAGCTCCGGCCGCTGAATCGATGGCCTAAGAAATTCAGAACGAGAAACGACGCGGGAGGCCCTCGTGCTGCCGCAGCTGGCCGCCACTTTCTCCGAACGAGGTGATGACCCCGCTGGCTTGCGTCGTATCCAGCGGCAGGCGGCCGCTGCTGCGCCTCGCTGCTTGGATATGGCCAGCCACGTGCCCCAAGGCCTCGGGCATAGTGACGCTCATCCGGGAGCCTGCAAAGGTTTGCCGTCTCTCCATCATCCGCAATTCAATGATGTGCAGGTCACATGATTGCAGGGGTCACAGAGGTCACGTTCTCATTTTTGATTATTTAATTGCTTTTGCACGCTGCATGCTCAACTCCGTGCGCCGATGAGCATCTACGCGGATTCCATGGTTGGATTGGCCCCCCGTGTACGTCTAAAGTGCCTGTCCAGCTGTGGATGCCACAGCGCCAGCCGCGCCATTGCCAAAGGCCTGTTGCCGGACGATAACACCAAGTGGGATCGTAGGCGAAATATAGAAACACATGAGAATGTAGAAGTGGCAAGACAAGGCGCGTGTGCACGAGTAAAATGACATGGTTTGGTCCCATTCACATGTATCTCGCTCTGGCGAAGCACAGAGGCGACTTCGGTCTGAAATCTGTCTGACGACTGTTGATTTGGCTGTTACTTTTAATTGATTCAATTACGGACTGCAACTGGACAGTCCTGCTTTGCCAAAGTTCTGCAACCGGCTGTCGCCAATTTGACATCGAGCAGCAGATGCGTCAATATCAGCCTCATTTGCGAATGGGGTCTGAGGGATGCTTGTCGGCATAGGGTCAGCAGAGAAGACATGCTTCTCGATTTCACATTGGCAACTAAAGGCCCGAAGCATGTGAGTAGTATCGACCACAGGACAATAATCGCCGTTGTCTCTGGCGTTAACGACGCAGATGGTCTTGTATGTGTATGCATATAACAATCAGCAAACTCACAATCTTTGATACAATCCTTTAAGAAGCACCCCTTGCACACCAAATTCAGGCGGTCTCCAGCCGGCAGCGACCAAAGCCAGCTCATGCGCTCTCAAACTGGATTCCGATTGCCGCTCGTGCCCACCGAGCGAAAATGCGTAGTTCTGAATGTGTTCCACTCGTGTTCAATCAAAACCAGACACAAGTGCGTCGGGAAAAAGTTGCACATCCACGATGTGCCACGAATTGTACATCCAGGATATGCCCATGTCTTGGGTGTGTGCTCATATCCTGGAAACGCGTATATCCATATCTGGGATATGGCGCCCAAGTCTTATACGGCGTCCAGGATGTGCGGGAAGACACTCACATCACATTCGATATTTATGGGACCGTGCCAATGCTCTACTACGAAACTTCTATTCCCAAGGTGCCAGATTGTCATACCCCTGCAAATCGCAGACCCTCTCTCATGCACCCGCCACAACGTTACCACCACTGCGCAGCGCTTCCACATGTGATGTCATTCGCCAGAAGAGGTTCCTTCCTGTCGCTTTCGTCGCTTGCTTCGTCACAATTTCAAGTCACACTTCTTGGAAAGCATGTGCGTGAGACCATTGCCCAACATCGGCAGTTTATGGTGCAAGTGCTTTTTTTCGTCAGCTGGCAAATGTACTGTAGCATATCGAACCCTTCGGCATCAAAAAATTTTACCGTTACGCTTTTGCTTACGCTTTTGCTACGCATTTTGTTTTTACAATTTTTACGTTGCTCTGAAAAGTTTTACTGAAAGGGCGTTGTAAATTTCATTTTCTTCTCGGCAAAAAGGCCGAGCGTTACGTTCCTATGCGGAAGTATTGAACATACTACAGTAGCTACAAAGGATTTTCAGCAAGCAAATCCCCACCACAAGAACGCTCGTCGCCATGCCGTTTGCCGCCGGCCGCGGCTGCGAGCGACGGGGCCCTCCTCGGCTGCGCCCCAGCCGGTCTGCTCGTCCTCCCGAAAGCCAAATGAACTGCTGGCGCCTTGGCAACTCCCGCGCCGCGCCCCTCCGATGCGCGAGACGCTTTTCCGACACGTCGGTGCACCCTGCCCGCAGAGGGCCCCTTTGCTCTGGGGCCTGAAGGAGTTGAGCACGCGGTGGAAGGGCGGCGCCAGGACCTCGACGTGTGCCAGGGTTGCCGCCATTCGCCGCTGCAGGCTGAGGATGACATCAAGTGGCTGCGACTGGACAGGCTGCCTGCCTCGCTGGCGGTGAACCGAAAATGCGCAGGTAAGATTCCATCATGCAATTTGCATGGGGTGGCTCCGTGAGGTTGTTTCTGTGTCGCAGCGTTTGAAGGCACGGCGCTTGCGCATGCTGCTAGAAAAATGGTGGCAACGCGACACTGCTGAATACCCTATCTTACTTACCAAGTCGTGCAACTTGAGCCATCTGCTTGATGCCGCTTTAACCTGTGTAATATGGTGCACGTGTCGTACATAAAAAAGAGTGCCTCGTGCGGCCGTCATGATGCCATCACTACAACCTCATAAGTCCTAGGGTCTGTGTGATACCTATCGTTTCCAGATATGAAGTCCGTGAGGGCGTCACGGATGCCATGAAGGCTGCGAAGGCCCATCTTGAATCCTAAAACATTAGTGCCAAATCTAAAAGGCCTTCGTGACATTCGCGACCTTCATCACCTTCATATCCGGAGATGATGGTTATCAAACATTTGAACAACCCCGGTCGAATTTCTGTCGAATCGAGACCTTAGGTATAGGTTATATATCGCAGTGTAATTTTCGTACCAATTCTATATAACAGTTTCTTTGCAAACAAATGATTTCCGGTTTTTGATTCTAAGCAGCTTAGCCCAATTTGAGCGAAGACAGAAATTACGCTTTGGACGGGTTTGTACAGCGTGTCAACACCTCCACCTGGGGTGCCAGGGCCGTTGGTAATCGAGATAGAGAAAGGAAGCACGGGTCCGCACGCGGCAGTAGAGATGCCTTCATCCAGAGATTGCTGGCGTCAAAAGCGCTTCTCTACCATCGCGCCTCGCTCTTGTATCCCCCATCAGTTGTGCATTTCTTTGAATTCGCCAAAGAACAGCCATTTCTAGGGCGCGAAGTTGGTGATGGGCGTTGTGCATGTCCACAATTGGGATTCCATCACAGAAACGGCAGGCACGAACGGCACGCCGTTCGACATTTTGAGACGTTTTGGTGCTTCCGCGCAAATTCTGAAGTTCTCTTCTGGTGACGATAAAATCTGCTGGTGCCGCGCTGAAATTTACAACAACGACAAATATAGAATTGGGCTTGGATTAAATCCTCACCCAAAGTTGAACCACGGTCTGATCAGTACATGATTAATGCGCAGTACCTCTGCTGCGCAGTACAACCACGCTGGTACGTTGGATTCGTCTCAAGCATTGAAAGCTGTGTTGCAAGGAGTGGCAGCCACTGGGCAAGAGATGGGCGTGCTGCCTCCATAGTTTGATGCACATGGCTCCATTCAGTATCCACCGTCGATAGTTACATACGTTACGCAGGGTGCCATGCAGCTTCGACCACGGCATACAACAAGTGAGCATGGCTGTCCGTCGTCCATGCATGCTCACCGTCGCTGCGGTGTCGCACAATCTTAAAACAAGCGAGAAAGCAAGCGCGCAAATAGATTGAGCAAGTCTGTCTCTAGCCTGCAGACTGCTTTACAGAATATCCGCACAGAATACAAGTATGTATGGGCGACGCACTCTCCTCATGGCCGTTCATAAAACCCAGTCTTGGATTCAGGATTTAATGGCACGATGGACGCGGCACGATGGACGCGCATTCAACTTTTGTATTTTAGGTCCAGTGCGCAGTTAAATTGCTGCTGTTACCTTTGCCTCCTGCATTGGAGCCCGAGGCATTCGTCCGTGAGTTTCAGCTTCTTGAGACCTGACGTGCACGGAGACGTTTGCCCCCTTGACGAACGCAGTGCCCTTGGATTGCGTGGATCCCCCGCTCTTGCCGGCGTTTCGAGGCCCATCATATGGTCGCTTGCCGTCTGACATATGCCAATAGAATTGTTGTTATAGTGGCTGTGAGCAAACATCGCAGTGGCCCCTGGGGCTCCGCTCTCCTTCTCAATGAGATCTGCGACTGATGTTCATGCAATCGTCCTTCTCGGAAAGTCCTAGAGGATGCCTCGAGGATCACATCACAGCAGACTTTGTTTTCCATGTGTAGCTTTTGGACTTTCCCTGTATATTGTATATTTGGCGGCAGTTGCACAAGGTCTTAGCTCCGCGTGCCTGGGCCCCTGGTGCCCACCGCCAAACGTCAACTCGAATAAGAGTGCGACAAACTCGCCCAGTGTCAACCTCTGTCACAAGCAGGAACAGCAATGGCGCCTAATTTTTGATAGCTGCATACCTCAGGGCAAAGCGATTGTGGGTGCCCCGAATCGACGCTGTTGTCTATGAGATGCTGTCGACGCATCAGGGCATTGGCCAGCCGAGTGGGAAGATCCCTGGAGGTGGTGCAGGCCACGGTAACCATCAGTTGCAACGCGATTACCTGCCGTACACCCGTGTTTGACCTCTTCGCTAGGTCGACCCCATTTTCTTGTTTATCAGACGGTGTGGGCATCTATCTCTTTGCTGTTTCTAGTTATTGAATCAATTACTAAACTGTCGCACTAGCAGATGACAAATAACTGGTCAAGCTTTGAGATATTTTGGACAGTGTGGGCGGATAAGAGTTCGCTTAAATGCTTCCTCTCACACCAATGTATTTAATTCATGCGACAGCGCCACAAAATGCCTTGAAAGTTCCATAGCTAATGCCTGACAATCCTCTTCAATGAAAAACATTTACCAGGCCCAGTATTTACAGTACTTTCTTGTGCCACCTTTCCCTGAGAAGGATTTTAATTGATACGCAATACGTAACAATTAAAAGTCGATTCTCAGGGGATTGGCTGTATTCCTGGAAATCTCTCGCCATTGCATACTGCAATGAGGTGTCCCGCGGCAGCCCAAAAACGAAACACGCAATTTTGAGGATGCCATCGCAAATCAGCGGTGCATGGGAAACAGCCCCTCACTCTTCCTTGCCCTCTTTGGTGGTGTGGTTCTCCTCGCTGCCGTCAAGAGTGGCTTCGATGCTGCCCAGGATGCTCTCTTGGCGGTATACATGAGCGATGAGGCGTTCCACGCAGCTCTGGGGACTGCTGTTCGCACTAGAGCCCTGTCAACACAACAGCTAAGCCTATTCAGCACTCTTTGTCTTCTATAATATGTTCTTTGTGTAAACACCAGCCCTAACGAGATTCAAATCAAGCAAATTGGCTCCATGTCCTTATTTGTCCTCCGATAGAACATTTTTGGGAATGATTGCAAATCACAACAGCGACCTGAGGCGCAAGAGCGGTAGTCGTCAGAATGCACTGTTTGTGGCCAGAGCAAGCAGTTTTGCAGCTGTTACTCAAGTTTTTACTACTTCCATCAAATATTGCGCCCATTTCGCGGAAGCTGGGCCCTCTCTGGATAGCCTTCGTCCACTGTGATGAGGTGAACCCGAACATGACTTTGGCGATGATGGACCGAAGTACGTCTACTTGACATTTGTTAGAAACATGATGAAATAATGGCATTGTAACAGCAGGGCGACACAGGGCAGGTGAAGGGCTAACGCTCTCATCGCATTCACTGCTTGGGCCATAAGGAAAATCCAATTGTTAGAATGCAATTGCAAAGGCAACTATCTTACCGGGATTTTTTCTTTGTCACGGACAGCTTTGTGTACGGCGGCAGAGACGCTGGACCCGATGGCTTCTAGAGTGCGTTGGGCTTTGTCTCTGCGACACATCAACCACTCCCAACTCGTCCAAGGCTACAGCCAGCGGCCTTAGAATTGAAGGTGTGCAGATTTTCGTGCAAAATTGGCATCAATTGCTGGACGATGGGGAGCACTGCCGGTGCATCTGCGTCAATGGCCTTGATGCTCATGCCGACATTGCCTGAACGTTGCTCCATGGGCATTGCATCAGCACGGACCCGCGTTGCATCCACGACAGCGCACCGTTTCTCTAAATCAAACACATGCGGATTTGAAGCTGGGAGGCAATCCTGCAGATACAGAAGCCATCCACACCGTTGTGATCTGGGATGCACACTTTGCCCTTGTGGTCCTGCCCCCAACGCTGGTGCCGCCCGATGGGCGAAATTTGCCCCCCGAAGGACAGGTCTTGTCATGTTCGGCAAGTTTTGATTGGCGATTCCACCCGCGCAGAAGGGCCGTTACCTCAGGCTGCTATGGCCTTTTCCGGCAAGTCTTCGAGCCAAGAGAATGTCCAACTCACCGCAGAGAATCGGCCATGAACTGCGCTTCCTTGGCCTTTTCGAGCTCCCACCGGGCGCTTCGCAAGTCGTAAGCACTCCTGGCGAGTTGCAACAGCACGCTTTCAAGCTGGCGCAGCAATGCGACGCTTCCACGCTAGCGACGAAGGGCATTCAGTAGAGTCGTTATGCAAAATTCTTGGCCGGCAGCTGAACTGTTTAGTTCATCACGATGTGCGCAGCTCCCAGACACGGAGAAAGCCTGACGATTCACGGAATTTCATGCCAAGTTTGATAGGGTTGATTTTCTGGAAATCTGGTACTTATAGGCCGCCACAGAATTGTATTATTCATGTGGAATTACGCCGTTGGTCTGTATTTGTGATCAAATCTCGACCATGCGTCGGCGCTGTTGTTGACTTCGAATACTTGCGAAAGAGCACAAGATTATTAATGCCCCGATTGGGCCCGCATTGACTTTGGCGCATTGCAGACATGTGTGTTACATACGCTCTTAAAACTGACGCCAAAACCGAGGCCGAAATTGTGTGAAATTTACGACTGGTCCGTTGTTGAGGTGATTTTTTAATGCATGATTTCAGCAGTTTACCGCAGTGTTTGCACGATATTCGAACCCGAATGCGTGCAATTGATAAGCAATGAAAGATCCCCACAGAAAAGAACAAAGGAATTTTACGTTCATTTTCATGCTTTAACATGCAAACGTTCCATTGTGCCACTGACGCGCGTGTGCAATTTTCAGCCACTTGTCACAGTTCAAAACGACCGGGACGCGCGCGAAATGAAGTATCTGTCCACTGCAAGAAGGCAGAGGCGGCATTGTGTCACTTTTTTGTGCGCAACGGAATGCTGCCCAACACAATTTCGCCTACGTTGTTTGGTCTGCAAAAGCTCTACACGTCGCAGCCCGCCTTGGCAGCAGGTGCTGCAGCAAACCTTTGTCGACGTGATTGTGCCCTGCATGAATTGCAGTATGCAAGCAAGGATGCCGACCTTTCGCGGACGTCCGCAAGGATGTTTTCCAACTGATATATCTTGTCTTCGCAGTCTGCAACATGGTTCACCCAGCGGCTCAGCTTGTGGTTCAACTGCACCACTTGCCCTTGCAGTGCTGCCACCGTCCTGTTGGCCTCCCCTTGGGCGTGAAGTAGCATCTCGATCTGGAGCGGGCTCAATGAATTTTATCAGAAGGCTTGACGGAAGATTCCGTGGGTGGCTCAGGCGGACCAACCGCCAAAGCCATTGTTGCGAGTGAGCTTTTCGTCCGTTGTCGACACATTCTCCATGAAGCAATGCACGGCTTAAAGCACTAGAGAAACAAATTAACCTGGAAACCCTAAACCTAGAATGGAGGCGTTTGAACCAGCGCACATTGCCGTTTCAGGAGGCAATGCACTAAGGGAAGGGACGAGATCCATGGTATGCTCTGTTGCATTCGCTTGCAACATGCAAGGGTGCTGACTGGTGGCGGCTCAGGGGATAGAACATTGCAGCCATAGACAATGCCCAATGCATGCTGTGTGGCTGTTCTGGACACAGCTGGATATGGTACAGACAGTAAAAACTGGAATTACCTGCATTTGCCACCTTATGAACGGAAGTTGCCTTTGCATGTTCATGGTGATCCAGCAAGCATTTGTTCAGCAATGCTCACAAATTGTGAATCTATCAGTGTGAATCCAGTACTGAATTCCAGGTATAATTCCAGGATCGAGTCCATGTTGCGACTGAACGGGCCAGAGAGGAGGGTGGACAGAGGCTAGCATACAGTTGCCACATTACTAGTTGCAATCCCATGTGTTGATTGGCATAACATATGCTACAGCTTTTCAAAAGCAAGTGGCATTGATCGCTCTTAAGTTGGCAGCGGTGAGAGCCCATGAGACAAACAGAGCAGTTACATTTGACTGGGCACACTCCCAGTTAGAAAAGAACGTCAGAAATTGAACAGTGAGTTTGGGCCGGATCCACTGGCATTTATTAGAACACACGTTTTCTTGCCATTCGCACCACCCTCCCATACACGCTGTTCCTTCCATGCCTGGGTACACTTGCAGCATCCTTGAAAGTGCGAGTCTTTGTCTTGCTTTTTGAAGGTCTCTCTCAGGAGGAGCACATCCAATGCCTGACAAGTTTCCGTTTGCTTGGGAGACTTTTCGATGGCCAATGACAGAAAGCCGATCTCTGCCGAAGGCAACATGGGCAGACTGCAGTGCTTGCAACAGTGACCTCTGTTCACACAGATCTACGTGGCCAATTCTGGGGCAAGTCTGAAGTGGGCTGCATTGTATGGACTGTGATGGGCAATTCGGTGCTCTTGGCACCGCCCAGCTCACCTCTTCATCTTTTCCTTTGAGAATTTGGACAGTGAGAGCATGCTGAGAGGCCAAATCATCAAATTGAGCCCTACAGTGCCTCAGCTGTTCTTGGTACGTCGTGCTGCAAGCGCTGACCGCCGTGTCCCCCCTCATCTTCCAGTGTGAGGCCTGTCCATTTCATTTGCCAGTGTGGGGGTGTAGGCCACGTCCATAGAATCTCCCAACAGTAACCAGTTTCTCAGTGTTGTAAGCATCCTTTCCTCCATTGCTAGCACAAGATGCCGTGAATGCAAAGAAATCCTATCATTGCAATGTGGGTGTGGTGGTCCAGAGCTCGTCAACACGCAACGCACATCAAATGCCATCTCCCAACTGCCCGCGGGTTCCCGTCGACATGCATTCCGACACACGAGAGTCTCCTGTCCAACACGTCGCTCGGAGCTGCCGTGCACCTCGACTGCACTTTAAACAGCGCGTCAAAATTTTAGCGGCAATTGCGACAAGCGTGCCATTCACAGGATGCCGTGCTCTGTCAAACCTCGCGGCGAGCTCGCGCCGGCAGCGCACACACCCGCGGCATGGAATTACCGGAGATGATTCGCCCAAGCCTTCTCGGCGTCGCCTACCCAGCACTTCGCCCACGGGTGGGCAACCTCAGCGACCGGCTCCACCCCACAACTGATCGCATCGATCCAGTCACAGCTAGCTGCCTGGCTGCGTTTCTAACGGCGTTCAGAGCAAGATCAGACGTTGGGAATTTCTGAAGGCGCTCGCAGCACGGAAGGCTTCTGGGTCCAGCCGCACCTTTGTCAGTGGTGCGCCCACTGGCGCAGGCGCGGGGGCCATTTCTGTCACTCGTGGGTGGGTCACATATACGTATGTGCGTATGCGTACGTTGTGCACAACTTTGCACCCATTATGCACTAATCGCAGCACACCAGTACATTGTGCAGTATTTTGCAAATATTATGCACTAACCGCCAAATACCAGTACATTGTGCACTACTCTGCACCCAGTAAGTAGTGATCGCCACACACCAGTACATTATGCACCACTTTGTGCGCATTATGCACTGGTCCCTGGGGCCACCGCGCCAGAAACCTGGCACATTCAAACCCAGCCTGGGCCCGCCGTGCCCAGAGCCGTTGGGCAGCCGGTAGGCCCATTTGCAGGCCGTCCGCCCAGGAACGAGGGCAAAGGGGGCTGCCCGGAGATTCCCCCCTCTCCTCTGGGTCGCACCGCTGGCGCGCCTTGTGTGAGTTGGAGCCGCCTGCTGGACCCCCTGCTCGAGCCTGCCTGATCGAAGGCAAATTTTGGCAAAGGCATTGAGCCAGCACGGGCTGCTGACTGAGCTCGGGTCGGGCGTCCGCATCGCAGAACCGCCCGCCCCCTGTTGGGACGCGGGGCGGCGTCCGGCGGCCGCGCCTGGAGCGATTGCACAGGAGGGGGGGAGGGAGGCCAATCTTCAATTGATTGAATTTGCGTTGGAAAGACATAGTGGCTTGGCAGGAGGCGGAACAGGGGGGCCGATTGTGCCCCATCCCCTGGCATGGACCAGCGTCGGGGGCCGATGGGCTTGGGATTGGCCGCGGAGAGCGGCCCGTGCGGACCGTCGAGGCCGAAGTTCAACATCGATGCGCACAGGCACGTCTTCGCGGAGAAGGCCACGTGGGGATATTTGTATTCGCTAGCCGAGCTGAATCGAGACGCCTGCGAGAATCGACCTCCCCTGCAAAGGTAGGCTGGGTGCATCTGCTCGCGGTCGGTAAATGATGCCCCTTTGCCACCCTTCGGCTGCTCACGTTGAGGCTGGCTCCCATCCAGGGCGCTGGAGGGGACGCAGGCGGATTCAGCAGATGCCGCAACTCAGGTAGTCGTTGCTTTCCTTCAACATTGGATTGGGGTGCCACAGGCTGCGTAGCTCGATGCTATCTTGGTTTGGTTGCTTGGAGCAACTGAGCAATTGCTGCTGGCAACGAACGTGTTTGGCTCATGTTCACCACAGGGGCAACAAAAGCGCTGGTGTACCAAGAACATCAACGCTGTTGACAGAGGGTAGCACTGTCCTTTTCTGTGACAAGCTCCAAATTTGCCTTGTAATTCGTGGAGCTGTAACCTAACACGACACTGTACTTGTAGGCGTTCCAAATTCTTGCACAACCACCAAAGAGAGTTCCATGTCTTGTTGGAATGCCACAATCAGGTGGGGCTGCAGCGGAGTGCCTGCGATCAATCGTTTGGGCTTTGCATTGAGCTTTCCTGTGAGGTTGCACAGGGTGCACGTCTCTTCCATGGGAGCTGAGGCTGCGCCCAAATAATTGCGATTTGGTATTTCGAATCAACACGTAAAGAGAACTGGTGGGGTGCAGCTGATATGCACGGCGTCGTGTTAGCTGCTGGTCAACAAAGTTGAATTCGACAAGCTCAGAAGGACTTAATGTGTTTATTCTGCAAGAGGATGAAGCTCTGACGTACTGCATCTCATCGGTACTGTCACAGGGCGGTTACCTCCAAAGTCAAATGTGCCCCCAGCCACTGGACATGTGCCGCCAAAGCCAGTGGGCCCTCCTGTCCAAAGCGAACAGGTCAGTGAGTGCAGCCCCAAGCCTGGTTTGCAAAATTTGATGGGGGCCCATTTGTAAATGGGAGTGTGAGAACGACTGCAGGAAACAGTGCAAGAAACTCCGTTGGAACTTGGGATGGATTTCCTCATCCGCTTCAGTCAATGTTAGGGCACAGCATCAGTCTTGCATCCAGTTGTTCTCCAGCCCAGCGTCGCATATCAGGGCCAAGGACACAACTTCATCACACTTTTGGTGACCCATGATTTTGCAGCAGTGCAGATTCCCAATTTGTGCTTTCCAAATTGCAGGTGGCACAGCCCATCCCCACTGGAGGCCAGATTGAGGCTTACCTTGACGATGGAGATGACGACCTGCAGGACATCGACATTGATGCCATCGTGTCTGAGCACCGTCGAGTGAGCCTCTGCTCCGGAAACTCTGCCCCCCAGAGTCAGGAGAACTGCAGGCAGACATGGCCAAATGGTGCATTGCCCATGACCTGCACACCTGTGGTTGCAGGTATTTCAGAGGCAGCAACATTGCCACAATGGGAACTGGGAGCCCATCCACAACAGGCCGGCCATTGGCAGTTGCCTCAGATGGCACCTAGTTATCAGCAGGCACAGGTTGGCCCAGAGCAAAACATGGGGTCGAAACCACAAAGGGGCAGTTTTGGGTTTCCAGATGCACAGCACCAAGTGGTCGGAGGTTTGCCTTTGGGACCATTGGCTCCCAACTGGCAACACACCCCAAACCATGCTGGTTCAAAGAATCTGCTATCGACAGGACCACCTGGTGTAGGATCTGCACATGCTCCTTCTGGTAATACCATCACCTCCTGCTGCATTGGCCTTGACTGTGGTTCCGCTCTGATCGCCACTCAACCATCCCAGAGGCAACAACTTGAGAGTGTTAATTGAGAATGTTCAGAAGCATAGGCAGATGAACTCTGAACTTTCCACTCACATGCTTTTCTTTTGAATTGCGCCCTTCATTCTCTTTTGTGGCCAGCCTGCACAACTGAAAGCTGCACAGTGGCAAGCAGATGCTGAATGCACAATGGCAGTAATTTTTAAGAATGAACGCAAGGCATTGAAGACTGTTATGCATGTGCTTCTGTTTTCAATCCATCATCATTGTGCATTGCTGTCTGCCATTCATTCTTCCTTTTGTTTCGTGTCTCATTTTGTCATGTCTTTTCATCTCCGTTGAATTGTGCATTGGCATGTTTCCTTTTGCACAGGTGCTGCTGATAGATGGGACACTGTCTGGGAATCAGCGGACTTCACTGACGCTGGCCCCAGCAGGAATTCCTATCAACAATGTCCCAGTCTGCAGGATCAGATGCCATTGGCGGATGCTGGCGCTGCACCCATGGATTGCATGCATGAAGATGCAACAAAGGACCCCAGGTGGAGGGGGGAGTTCCCTTGGAGCAGCCTGTTGAAGCTGCACCTCTCCCAGACATTTGGCATACGCAGGTACCTTGGCAACTGGCACCTGTGGTTTCTTGGATTGTGGAGTTGTTATTTATCATAGTGGAATGATAATAATGTTGTAGGGGGTGCCTTGACAGCCATGTAACCCTCGTCGGTCGTGTTGGCCTCCATGTTTGTAGAGAAATGTGTGCATTCTCCAGTTTAAATTGACCTGCTGCTTACGTTAGGGGCCTTGCACCAGAGTTCCTTTGGTGTGCTTTCTGATTTCTATTGTGTAGTGCTATTTGAAATGTGCTCCTTTTGAAGTTTTGATTCCCTGTGTTCATTCTCATGTTTTTATTATCAATGTTCCAATCTATGGCTGGTCAACAGCTTAATGCGATCTTAGCAACAGTTGTCCTAAAAGTGTTTGGTCCACTGTGCTTCTCATGTGTTGTTCTTTCATTTTCCTTCGTTTCAACCCCTCACAAGTAAGATTGAAAATAATATTGGCTGCATCACATATCAACAGCATCGCAATATCAAATAATATCACTAGTAGTACTTCATATCTGTGGACATTGCCAGCCTCTATAGATGCAAGACAAATCCAGAATTGGGCCCTTTTATATAGTGTTCGACTTGGGATTATGGACAATGAGTTGTTGTGAACGCTCTTTTCAATAAGTTGAGGCACCTTGCAGCGAGCAAATGCTTTTTTCCAGCCTCGTACATTATGCTTAGAAGTCCACAAACCATCTCCTGTAAACGAACAGAAGTGTGTGTTTTATGCCACCAAGCGAAAAAGCACAAGAACATGTACACCCCAGAAGCCTGTTTGCCTAAGAAGAATAATCAGAACAAATAACATTGTTGTTGCAGAGCAATGGTAGCTAGGCTCATGCAGTCGTTGTTTGTGTGCAGTTTCCGGCCCATGCAGCGTGAGATTATGTGTGCCTCTTTGAGCGGGCACGACGTGTTCGTGCTGATGCCCACTGGCGGGGGAAAGAGTCTTTGCTACCAACTACCAGCCGTGATCGGCGAGGGGGTGACGGTGGTCGTGTCTCCACTTGTGTCCTTAATCCAGGACCAAGTTGCCCACCTGGAAGGGAACAGGGTGCCGGCATCTCACCTCAGCGGGCCATACGACCAAGAGCACTACAGGCAGACGATGTCCATGTATGCATACTGACCCTGTCCAACTGGCTGTACTCCAGGCTGGCCAGATGTCCACACAAGAAAACACTGTGTGCATGATCAAATTCGTTTGCTTCGGACATTGCCCAACATCACCAATCTGGTGAAGGACTTCTCCCTTGTCACGTTGAATGTAATCAGAACAAGGAGTGTATATTCATGTATGCCACTCCTCCGGTCCCTGCATAGCATTGCACTGCATTTTGTGCACAGTGCTGAGTACTGCCTTGTCAACATTTGTGTACATGTGTATATGCACCGATGGTACATATGTTTACAATTGACATTTTATTTCTGTTTCAAGCTACTTCCAGTTAACACAGCCACGAGAACAAGGCCATTTTGAGGGCCATTTTGGTATGCATGCAGAATTGGTACGGGATGTGCTGATAGTAAGGGGTGCCTGCTTTCATTGTTGAATAAGCAATGTGCGCATCCGGCAAGTGATTAAAGTTCTTTGTCGGAATATGTCAGGTCATCAATTGGCAACGTAGTTCTTGTCTCCGAACCTACGGAAAACAGACACTGCAGCTGACTTAGCAGCTAGAAACTATTGACAATGAGCTTGCTGGACTGTTAAGTGGTGCCTGTGTGACAACCAACCAAGTTTCCACTGCATTTGTCAGTAGCCACAAGCACTGGGGACCTGCAGCTTGTTGAAAACCGTGAACATTATGTGCAACTGGTTAACCAGTCTCTGTGTAAGCATCCCAGGTGGAAAATTGTAGCAAGAAACACAACAATGTGTGCATACCTGTTCACAGTGTCCTTGTGAAACCAAAAGAACTAAAACATGCTAAGGGGCCTCCTTGGCCTAAAGCACACTTGTGAGATAGCTGTTGGCCACATGTGCAGGGCTCGATCAGGAGAGTTGAAGGTTTTATTTATCACACCTGAGAAGATTGCCAGCAGTGGAGCCCTGCTTGGCCTGCTTAATGATCTACGGGACAGAAACATGCTTGATCGTTTCGTTGTGGACGAGGCGCACTGCGTCAGTTCATGGGGTCATGACTTTCGGAAGGACTACATCAGGTTGGATGCCTTGTTCTGAGCAAAACGAAAGCCATCTGTTGCAATTCAAATTTATGTGAGCCTTGAAGTGTGGCCCAGGTGTCGATGTACACATTGGAACTTTCACGGCAACGCCCTGATTATCAGCCTTTCAGTCTTCCAAGTTGCACTGATTGTTCCCAGTTGAATGTCCAACAATTCAAACAACAGAAGTTCGCAAGCTGCTTGTTGACAAGCAAGGTCTGTACTCATTTCATTTGAATGACAATGTTCATATATTGCTGGTTTGTGGGGTGGGTTGTGGCGTTTAGTGCATATCTCTGAAGATGCTTTCTAGTCAATGGCAGCAGGTCCCATCCATCGAGAGGTAATACCTGACGATGTGTAACGGGGCCTCTGGAGAACTACTGATAATTGTTCAATCCCTTTGAGTCCTTGCACAGGTACATTGTGTGCCAAGAACTGAAATGTTTGCTGTGAGCGCTCTTTTCTGTGGTTGACAGGCTGCGGTGCTTCAAGGAAATGTATCCAACTGTGCCAATCATGGCACTGACTGCAACTGCCACCGCCAGGGTCAGTCATGATATTCGGCAGCAGCTAAGAATTCCAAAGTGTCTGGTGTTCAAGTCAAGCTTCAACAGGCCAAACCTCAGGTCAGGATACTGCATCTCATTTGTGTTTTGGCCGCAGTGTTCCCAGCACAGATGTCTCTATTGTTGTGCCTGATGTGACTGATGCCACGTTTGCCGTGGCTGGGTGCAGATATGAGGTCAGAAAGAAGTCGCCAAAGACCGTCATTGATGACATCACAAGTCTGCTTGGGGAGAGGTTCACAGGCAATGATGGGCGCATCCAGAGTGGGATCATATACTGCCTGTCAAAGAAGGAGTGTGAGGATGTAGCAGGCAAGCTGAGCCGCTTGAAGCAGCGGAATGGCCGCAAGCTTTCAATAAGGTGTGGCAAGTGGTTGCTCAATTGAGGCCCGCAAAAGTAGCCAGGATGAGTGCATCTGGCTGTTCCAGGAATATCCAGCTGCTGCAGAATCATTTTGAGCAATCAAAGCTAACATTGTGCGATTGCGTTAGAATTGTCCGACATGTTGAGCGCGTGTGGTATGCCGACACTTGTGTCACTGTGGTTCTTGTGCTATTTATTGTGGAATACTTCTGAACCATGATTTGCTTGTGCAGGCATTACCATGCTGGACAGAATCACCAGGAGAGGGAGGAGACACAGCTGATGTGGAGCAACAATGAGATACAGGTCATTGTTGCCACCATCGCGTTTGGCATGGGCATCGACAAGCCGGATGTGCGGTTTGTAATCCACTACTCCCTCCCCAAGTCCCTTGAGGGATACCTGCAGGAGTCTGGACGGGCAGGCAGGGATGGTAGGAAGTCATGGTGCATCCTCTACTACAATTATGGCGACTCAAGACGCATAACATTCCTCCTTGAGACAGGTGCCAAGGAGAACAACGTGACAAAGGAGCAACAAGAGCACAATCGCACCGCCCTTGATGCAATGGTATGACATTCCCAGGAACGGCTTCATTTCCAAGCAAAATTCTCCCAACTGCCACTCTGACCGGACCACAACATCAGTACTCCCATGTCTCGTTCCTTCCACCATCCTAGAGCTTCTTCTGGAAGCATTGACTATTCCCCATTTGCTTTCCTCTTGTCAGCTTTTCTACTTTGTCTCTTAGTCTTTTTAGGTTCATTTTCCTTTTGGCTGCTTCCAAAGGCAGTGATTTTCTGCTTTCGCAGAGGTGCTATGCCGAGGAGCAGGTTCAGTGTCGGAGGGTCCTCCTGCTAAACTACTTTGGAGAGAAGTTCACAAAGGACAAGTGCAGGGGAACATGCGACCTGTGTGAGAATAATCAAGGGAAGTCGTTCCATGAAAAGGATATGACGGAACAGGCAAAGAGCCTCGTCATGGTCGTCAATGCATTGCGGCTGAGGGCAACTCGCAGCTACCTCATAGACGTGTTCAGAGGTTCAATGGCAAAGAAGGTGGGTGTGGCTGCACAGGTTGAGCATTGCACTGCCCTGTTTCTATTGTTGCTAAATTAGGGATGGTACCCGGTAATGCTAATCAATGGTGTGCATTCACCAAAGGACGGTGTGAATTTCATGAATGTGCTCTTCTCCAAGTGGCAGTTGGCCTGAGACTTGTTGGTAATATTTTAAAACTATAGTACTGGAAGTTCATTGCAGTGGGGAGTGCTTTAGTTTGGATTCAGTTTCTTTCAGGTACTTATCTTTGTGACAGTTCTCCTACTGCATTGCATATGTTTTCGTTGGATGAAGTTCTGTCTTGACTGTGTAGGTGCTGAAATACCGAGATGACAAACTCCAGCACCATGGTGCTGGCAAGGACCTCACAAAAACCGAGGCGGAGAGGCTGCTTGGGAAACTGCTGGAACAAAATGTTCTGGAAGAGCAGACTTACAGGTGGCGCCACTGCTCCCCTGTTCTAATCTCGGCTCAATTGTCACTTGTTAAACACAAGAGGTTGTTGTATCATCCAGCGTGTCGGCAATCATACTTTGCTATATTCAGAGTCCTAAGACCATCGAGAACCAATGAAAGTCAACCCAGGGAAGCCCTGGCACCTGCCAGCATAGGCCTGTCGACGGATCGCCATGTGGGAACTCGAGCACAAATGGCCGTTATCTGCACTGCAGATTACATGCAAGATTCTGATGCAGCGTGTGCAAAGAGCAGTGATTGCAACCCAGTTGGACATCCTCATGAATTCAGGCTCATGCTATTGGTGGTCTGCAGTCGCATTCTGATCGCCAACGACAGTGAGAATGTTTACCGTGCTGATGTGCAGGCAGCAAAACGAGTTTCAGTCTATTGGGTGCAGACTGCTTGTCAACCAATGCAGGGCGTCAACCGTTTTCAACGGAATGTTGAAGATCACTCTGCCATATCTGTCAACAGCATTCAGCGGAGGTGCTGGTGCTGACGCTTCCGAACCGGAAGGAGACTTTGACGAAATCGAACCGGTGAGCCACAGCATTTTCGGTTCTCACTGTCTCAAGAGTATAGTAATGTCTAGCTGTGCCGATCTTGCTATGCTGAGGGTCCATTCCATTCGTAACACGCAAGAGCGATGATGGGCATCACTAAGATGTTTCGAATTTGGTGGTTTGGAAAGGTGTTTGTTTTTGCGGTAATAGGTGGTTAACGTGAAATCGCGTTGGCACAATCCCATACACTCAGTTTAGATACTGACATCTGCTTGTACAGACCTGCACATTGTGCCTATTGATTTTGGCAACCAGAGTTTGCAGCCAATTTTCGAGTGCCTTGTGCATCCACAGACTGTTGGGTGTATCCTGGTGTGTGGGGGACAGCCTCAAACATTTATTTACGTTGGGTAGGCTGGCCTGGTGTGTGACCTGCTTCTCTCATTTGGAGCAATTGTTGCAAGGGTGTCAGCACAGCTGTGGTTGTGGATGCTCATGATTTTGCTCATTAATGCAGGATGCTGAGGATGAACACTTCCAGACAGCAAGAGCAGCACTGCAGGATCTATTCCACCTGATGGCAGTCCAGAAAGGCCAAGAAAAGAAGATGCACCTCCTCATTCATCCCAACAACATTGCCAAAATAGCCGCCATCAACCCAAAGAACGAAAAGCAGTTCCTGGATTCAGAAGTGAAGGGCCTCTCTACCAACAAGAAGAAGTTGTATTGGAAGGGGATTGATATCGTCCTTCGTGATGTGGAGCACTTCATGAAGAGAAAGGAATCTGGCCAGGAGCCCAGGGAATCGACCTATAAATTGGATGAAGCCACTGTCAGAGACTTTCTGTGCCCCTGGCGAACGAAGAACTCAGGTGGGCAGTGATCAGCATAAGTAGGATAACCGGCAATACAGTAAGGCCAGGACTGTAGAATTGAAACACACAAATAAGAGGCACTAACTAGCCACCAAAGAAAGAAGACTGGCATGGTTCCCGATAGACAGATGTTGCATTGAAAGGCCGTGCATTTGCTTGTGACCGAGGCGCAACTGTCCAGCGTGATCACACAGCCTTCATATTGCAGGGCTCCTAAGAATGGGTTTCGTGATCCGCAGCCAGAATTTCGGCGTGCGGAACACTGCACAGAACTTGTGCACAATGGTCCTGTCTCATCCCCTGCCATATGGCGACAGTCCTGATGATTCTCACCCCGACATTGCATGGCACATCCTTGAGGTCGATGAGAGCCTGCTGTGAGTGAACAATGTGCCCATTGCAACTGGGATCTTTTCTCTTCAGATGTTGCTTAGGAATGCTGCTGAATCATTGCCTACCATTGCCTCAGGGATAAAGCGCCAGAGAACGAAAATGACGGCCATACAGCCACCACCACAGGGGACACCAGGCATCCAGGGCCGCACATCAGAGACTCCTCCAAATCCCTTCTCAGGCTATGTGGCAAGAAACAGCGGTGCAGCGACGCCCATGGCAGGGTCAGCACAGCCTCCGGTGACATATGGGCCTTACATCGATGATGACTATGACTGGTAAAAGACTCCAACAAGCAAGGGCAGCTAGCTGGTGGCTTTACAATTTCAAGCACAAGCTAGATATTTCAGATATAGGTAGATAGACATTGCACATATAGGCAAGTATTCTCTGTTATTCAAGGCTGGTAGGCATTTTGCGTACTCACAACCAGGAACGCAATTATTGCATTGAAATGTGGAACAGGGGATAGTGGGCGGCTCTCGCGGCTGACACAAAGGCTGTAAGATGGGCCTGAAATGCACGATTTGTATGTACCTGCCATGTAGTTCCTGTTCCCTCATGTGTTGTTTCGAGATCTTTCACAAATATTCACGATGGCATTTTCTTTTTTCAAAACCCAATCGGCATTGTTGACAACTTGCCTGCTAATAACTGACCGGATGTCTCACATTCGTACTGTGCATTTGTTGGAATCCCACAAAGATAGGAAGGCCAAACTCAATTTTGGACCAGTTCCAACTTCTCCTTGAACTAGGTCCAATTTTTCCCAGTCCTGTCCAGCAGAACACAAAGAAAATGCTGCTGCAGCTGATGATTTGAAAGCCGTGACTCAGCGATGGCATCAGTGGATGTCCGCATTCTTTTTGCCACCAAGACATTCAAGTGTATGTGCTTAACACAGACAGGTCTGCTGATCAGCATCAGCTTAACTTACCAAATGGACCAAGCAACCGAGCAGGTCAGATTGGTGACACCTACGCCATAAAAGCAACCCCTTGCCACTTGCAATGTCACCACCAGCCACGTCCACAACGTGAAACGGAGTGTATCGTTTTGATTTTTGAATTAGTTGCATGAACGAAATTACAATTCATGAATTACATGTACATTAAACTATCTCAACCCAAGCTTTTGTCCACTTTTCAGCGGATTTGAGCTTGCGACGCGCCGAGAGTCAACAGCCATCAATCACTGCCCATATTGCTTGCTTGCCTGTGTGTGGATGCCATGAACAGCAGTGGCCATCGCAGACCTCGCTGGCAACCTAATGAAGATGCTATGCCAGTTAACCGCTGCTGTCTAAAGCAGCAAACAATGTGAAGAGTCCATAATCTAGTTTGTGGCAAAGTGGCTGGGTTGGAGCAATTTCGATTAACTTGTGCAGTCCCAATTTGGTTTAATTGCGCATGTCCAGCTCGAATGAGTGCCATTGATCGAGTAGTTTGTGGCAAACCGTCTATTAGTAGGACTCAATGGGCAATTTCAAATTTGGGGGGGGCTTGCTCAGTCCACGTTCGCTTAGATTCCCGATGCCCAGCGCCAAAGTGAGCAATGCGACATCGTTGTGAGACATTGGGCCGCTCCCAGGTTTAGCACCTGGGAATCAGACGCAGTCCCTGCACTAACGACACAGGAATTGATTTTTGCTGGCATTCGATGACCAACCTGAACCTGGCATTCCCTAAAAAAACACATTCACACACCACTTCCATTCAGGCAGGCGGATGTCCTACTTCCACTGCCTGCACACATCTCTGCACCACCTTTCAAAAGATAAAAAACTGCACTCTGTTAGAATGTGGAAGCACGTGCCACAAAATTCAATTTCAAGACGGGGTGCCCACTCCACGGCATGTGCTCCATTTGTTACAAAAGATTACCTAGGCTCGCATGCATCCCACCCACAGTCATCCCGCAGATCTCCTGCACTACAATGCTGATGTACACTTTCACTTCCCTGCCACAACATCCCCACTGACAGATGCGCTCCCAGCACAGCTCTCCACCAACGTACACGGCCGAACTGACTTCAATGAACTTGAGTTCGCGAGCTCTTCCAAACTCGACGCCACTTCAATCGGCGCGTTTCTGCACCTGCCCCTTACGTGGGCCCGAAATGCGGGCAAGAGCACAGTTCCTCTGTGGGTCAATGGAAACCACGAATTCCAACTGCACCGAACAATTCCACTTGACGCTGTGCCAATGCTTCTGCCTTCCGCTCTGCACAGCGCCCTTGCCCGCCAGGCTCAACACCCTTACCCAGCAAGCTCATTCGCGGCACGAAATTAGTCCCTCCGTTGTTTTTGTGATTGTCGATCCTTGTTTCGGCACCCTGAACCCTAAAACCCTGACCCACTGGCCCGCTGACCAGCTGACCCACGTTGGCCCTGTCAGCAGAGGATCTTCAAGAAAAAGAAGTGGATAACAATATATTCTGGTCATTATTCTACCCCCCCACCTACCCCTTTCCCCGCGCCGACCCCTCCCCGCCCGCCGACGCGATCTCCTGCCGATAGCTCTCCAGCGACGTGCGCGCCACGTAGTCGTTGAAGTTGAGCCGCAGGAAGAAGCGGCGCAGGGACGGCGCCTTGCTCTGCTCCTGCAGGCGGTCGCTCTGCAGCAGCGAGTAGAAGGATCCCACGGACGCGTTGAACTCGCGTCCCAGGCGCTCCACCTTGCGCCAGTCCGCCGCGTCGCAGGTCGGCGAGCCGTCGTCCAGGCGGACCATGGTGCACAGGGAGTGGCAGGCGCGGAAGACCTGCTGCAGGAGGCGGCTGATGGAGACGGTGGAAAGGAAGGACTGGAAGATGAGGGTGCTGAGGTACCTTGGGGCCCAGGCGGACCAGGAGGGTCAGTTCCACGCGCAGGGCACCGTGCGCTTACAAAAGAACACGGACATTTAATTAATGAATGAATGAATGCATGCAATGTTCATGCATGTGATACATGCATGCACGTGATACATATTCATGTGAGTGATACATTCATAACAATGGCATTGCATTTATTCATTCGTTGGAGGACAAAAGGACAATGACACTTGCTGTGAGATCTCTCTTTCTTCTTCTTCTTGGTCTCCACAAATGCAGTGGTTTTGGAGAATGCTCATGCGCCCCGCCCTGCATATCCATTGGCTCTCGCGCACAGTTCACCTGGGAGGGGTGCACATTGTGCAACCTGCTTCTCGTTGTTCTGGCAAATCGTGTCTGTATCCATGACATTAGCGTAACTGAGCGTAGCTATGTGGTGTGCTGCTTGTTGTAGGGTTTTCAGTGCCGTTGCAAGGGGTTCAGTGCAAACTGTTGGAATCCAATTATGTTTCAATGTCACAATTCAGCAGCGACCTCCGCCGTGACTACTGCGTTTAGACACAAACTGTTGCTGTGATACAGATAGTCAGCCAGAGAGCCGTGTAGAATTGGTTCACCGAAGACACTCCACACTAAAATGTCAGCTGTGCAAAAACACATGTGACCAAGTGCAACGATCACACCGACTGTTGAAGGCACTTGCACTATTTCAGTGATGCAATTGCGTTCTTTCGCAATCTGATGCTGTGCCAGCCACGCTCTTCATAATTCACCCTTGATGAGACCAAGTTCCATGACATGTTGTACACAGAAACACATTCGATTCGCCGCCAAGTATGTCGTCACTCAGTGCAACATTCTTTCTTATTCCACGTCAAAACATCACATTGTCGTGCCAGTCACAATTCCGTCCTAATGATGGCCGTCACCTGTTGTGCGCACGCTCCGCTTCCATGAAGTCCTGGGCATCCGCGATGCGCTGCTGCAGCTGCGCGTAATTGGACTCTATGACGTCCACCTGGATATAGATCTGGAGGTTCGTTATGAAGTGAGCCATGTGCTGGCGCAGCTGCCACAGCGGAAGCCGAGAAGAGCTCACACCGCCGCTTCTCGTGTCTCCCCTCCAGTTGCGGCTGCCATGGGGCGGCACAAATGAAGCACATCAGTTGGATTGGTGGCATTAATTGTCCCAATAAAATGGAAAGGGAAGGCATCCACCGCAAAGAAAAACAAACAGGTCGATTGAGGGCGCATGTCCTCCAAGTGGGGGGAACAAATACGGCAAAGAGACAGTGTTTCAAGCTGCGACTTGATTCCAAACAAAAGCAACTGCCCCATGTGGTGGGATGAATCTGGCAGTCATGCACGCACGACTTTGGTGATGCCACTGCTGAAGTCCAGCCTCTCAAAATCGATGCAACAATGTCATTGATCTCTCCACTCAAGGCATTAAATCTACCTTGAAAACAAGTGTGACACGCTACAACTCAGAACACGATTCAGATAGTGAGGATGCATAGCTCCTCTCAACTTCCTCCAGCTGTCGCTAATGTTGACAAATGCAGCATGAAGGGTCACTTCAACAAAGATTGCAGCGAACAAGCTGTGTGTCAAGGCGATGAGAAAATGTGCATGTGAAGACCACAGAGCCGTATAACAGGACACCAATCTGTCGAGCAAGCTGCAAGAAGAGTGCATCGTCAATGTGGGTGGCAGCATTGCTGCCAGTGAATTACTAAGGATAACTGCCTTTGTGCATTTTGCATTGACCATCCATGACCATAGACAGCGAGGGCACACCTGCACATGCTCTGCCATGCCTCCTCCAGTCCCAACTGGACACGCTTCAGCCTCAGAAGGTACTGGAACATGCCGTTGTACCTTGCTAGAACTGCGGGAGTGATGATGAGGCCAAGGGGCCAGCCCACCTTGTAGCTCAGGTACATGTTGTCCCAGTACTCGTCATACCTGGGGACTTGCAGGAAGCGCTTCGGGCCCAGGACCACCTGCATTGGGCAAGCCGATCAATCAGCTACCCTGTCAGCCTAAACATTGCCTACGTTTGTTTAAACAGGGCGAAGCAGAGCCAATGCACCTTCACGGAAATGATGTGTGCAAATCGTGAATCGTGGGATAGAAGGGTTGGGAGATCCCAGCATACATGACAAGCAGACAGCACATGATATGACAAGTTAACAATAACAACGTTGAGAGTGGGAGATATGGTGGAAAAGAACAAGTTCATGGCGGCGGAAGATAGAATGATGGCAACAGGGATGTCTGGTGAGCCAAATGCACTTGAGCGGTTCGTTGGGTGTGAGGGGCCTGTCGGCATGACCACAGAGCTGAATGGGAGACGAAGGATGGGAAATGCACACGGGAGGTTTGGAGCTGTCTGCACAACAAGCTAATGTCAAGAACAGAAACAGATGGAGTAAAAACTATGGCATTGACTGAATTTTCCAACACCCACTGCTGTGCTATCTAGGGTTGAACCTGTGCCATGGAATTCAACAGAGGCAACAGAGGCAATCGTGATTCTCACACCCACATTGCCTGCTGTGCTTCAAGCAATTTCTAGTAAACGTATCAAGTGCAAGTAAATGTATTTCCATACATTTCAAGTAAATGTATCAGATATGACAAGCCCCAAAAATGGTAGATTTGCTATGCATCAGTGTTTTGCAGACAATCCTCTCTCGTCAGTAACTCCCATGCCTGTATGTCGTCCTTCCGCCACTGTAGCCTAATCAGCTGGAAGAATTTGTCGTGCTGTGCAGTGCTCTTCAATGCAGACTGCTGGAAGGGCACATTGATGTCTGCCTCAGCTGTGGCCTCTCGCGGTGGCAGGTTCATCACCCTGGAGCCCTCCACCAGGAAGTTGTGATAGAACTCCCCTTTGGCCATCAGGAAGTAATCTTTCAGGGCCTGCAGGTGGCTGGGCAGTTCGGCTTTCACCACCACCAGGTGCCACAGATGCGAGGCCACCTATGGGAGCCAAGGGACTCAATGTTAATCGCGTCACTGTGTTAGGGCCTCCACTTTTCTTGGCCACTTATTCCTGTCATTCAACGTTGGCAGATTTGACTCCATTCAGGCGATGTGACTTTAAATTGTGAACACTGTTGAAGATTTCCCGAACACTGGACAGAGGTGCAGCACATGCTAATGTTCGTATTCTCTGCAATCTGATCAGCAATAACGATGACAGTCCTTACATTGCATTTGTGTACATGCACACACACATTTGACACAGGACTCAAAACATTCCCACATCGCCCGATAGGTGAACAAACCAGTGTTACCCTCAACACTAAGCATTTTCAATACCAAAAACTTAGCTCTTCAAGGCAAGAAACAATGCTGCAATGACTTGTTTGCCAGCATAGCCTTTTCCTTGGTTTCATTCACAGCCACCCACACGCAGGACTGGATCTTCTCTGAATAGCCACACTCTCATGGGTCCATGGACCACCCAGTCACAAAAGTTTGACCACGTCAGGTTGGCACTCGGCAGACCTCAAGAGTAAAGCTATTCCTTTAACCCACAGTTGTTGCAAATGCACATGGCTTTCTGTGCGCAATCCACACAGTGTGCTACACAAACAACAAACAACATGCTGCCTTTCAACACCAAATTGATAGAAACAAGACCACCAACACTGGTGGCAATATACTTCAAGTTAGGAGTACCCTGCAATGCAGCAGCAATAACTGAGGATGTCAGGTGCAACGCGAAAAATACATAAATAAATAAATAAGTAAATAAATAAACAAATAAATAAATAAATAAAAAGAAATACAGTTTCCTTGTAAAGCATCTGCCCATGTGGTGGAGCTGACTTGCAGCAGGCAGCCCCAATGTGAGGTATGCAGAGGGGATCTTCTCAACTCACCTTCGTCCGAACCGCCTCCACCACCCTCTCCAACGCCACCCTGTTGAAGACAGGCTGCTCCTGTAGCTTCCTCAACGCCTCTGCGAATGCAAGGGTGTCCCTGTACGGCATCAGCTCCTGGCCCTGGAAGTTGCCGCTGGGCTGTCGAAGCAGCCGCACGGCCTGGCCTATGAACTTGACGCTCTCAGCTGTTGTGAGTGATATGTAGGGAGGCAGCGCTGTGAGTTGCACCTCAAACCCCTGGAGCAGCAGAAGTCCATCGGTCAGAGCCCATTGTACGGTGCTCGCTGCATTGCAAACGCTGCCCCAGGGCAACATAGCACACTTGCAGCTTGCTGGTAGCAACAGCCATTTGTACATCCAAGGATTTTGATTATGTCTGTCTCGTCAGTCCTCGTTGGCCTGTCCATGTCAGCAAGAAAAATGCACCTTTTATGTGATGACTCAGGACAGTGCAGCCACTATTCAAGCACAGTGGGGGTGGCAATCAATAGAAGCACTGAGTTTCTTGGAAGTGCCAAGCAGCTGTTGACAGCCAAGCACGATTGCTGAGGAGCCCTGCGATGGAAAGACGTGAAATAAGTTTTGGATACTTTCTGTGCCTGCAAGATCCAAGGAATGCAGTCGCAGCCCTGCTAATAGCCGTGGTCCATGGGTTTTTACAGTTCACTTTCTGAGAATCGTTCACCTTGTGCCATTCATCCAGCTCTCCCTCACCATCCTGATCACCCAACAGAGCCCCGTTCGGATCGCTGACCTCGTGTATGAAGAACTCTCTGCTCCTGTCAAGAAGAAGCCCATGAACAATCCTGCGACAGCCCACACTCAATTACTACAAGCACAGCAGGCTGCTGTCAGCATTGTAGAAATCTAACTTCCCATGCTCCAAAGTGGATGAATGTAGCTAGACATAAGTTAAACAAATACATTCTCTACAAACTTGTGGGCGGCACTACTTGGATCCGTATGTTGTGTCCTGCCCAAAGCTTGAAGAAAATGACCGGTGTATGATACAATGCAGCCTCACAAACAAAAACAGGTATTCGGCTTGAGAAGAAGGGAGTACTGAAGTACTGGTCAAATATGTTTCTGCCTGCACTAGGGCAAATAAAGCCAAATCAAACTACTCAGCTGGTGCTTCTTATGAAATACCATCAATATGGACAAATGTAAACCACTGCTGTCAAAGCTGCACCTACGCCTGAATAGTGACTGGCAAGTGTGGATGCCATCCTTGCAACACTTACCATCCAGACAGCTGCTTGTACAGCACTTGGTTGCAGTGCCACAGCAGCCTCTGCAGGCAAGACTGCAGCGTCGGCAGGCCACACCGTGATGAGGAGTGTAGCAGGCCCAGCAGTTGGCTGCCGTTGATGCCATCCCGCTCCACGTGATGGACCAAGCGATGCAAGTGTGGCAACAATGCCTGAGCAACATGGATGACAATCAAAGCCTTGTGGATGCGCACAGTGTCCAACCGCAGAGCCCTGGAGGTTCAAGTGCAGGGACTTGGCACGTTTGGTCAACACCAGCAAGCTGCTATAGTGGGCAGACTCTTTTGCTGCTCAGCAGTGCTTTGGATTCAATGCAAGGGAGTAGCAATGCGACAAAACAGAGCAAGCAACTGGAAGGGAGTCTTATGCCCATGGGGAAGCACCAGGGTCTGCATATCAAGGGTAAGCTGCCCCTTGTGTCTCATTAGGAGAAATTGTGGGACGGGCTGTTCATGATTTTGCTGAACATCCAGCAGGTGGACTTGATGGGCCAACTAGCAAGAGCACAAGGCAAACAACGGTCAGCATGGTGCGGCATCTTATGATAAGAGCATCAATACAGGTGAGTCGGCTGCATCAAATATTCGCTAGCACATCCAACTGCTCCTGTTCATCTATTCAGTTGCCCAGAGTAGCTTCCTGAGGGCACCAAATCAGCCAGCACGCCTCTGGCTACAAATCAAAACCATTGCTCAGATTTGTTCAAGGGGCCCAGATCCAAGGGCCCACCACCGCATTCGTTCCTATGGACATTCTGATGGCCTGTCTGCTGACCTCAAAATCAATCAAAAAATGCCTGATTGCCGGAATGACAGGAGTGGCCTCGGTCATCAGATGCTGTTGGATCTGCAGGATGGCGGCTTTGTATACAGCAAGCAATTCTGTCACAGAGCAAAGGAATGCAGTTCAATACTCATGTCATGTGGTAAGTCCTGGTAAGTCCGGTAAGTCCTGGATATGTCATCCAGTCGTACATTTAAGTGCTGCTTTGAGGCACAACTCACATATGAAGCAACGTGAGCAAACATCCATTCGAAAATCGCTTACCACGATTGTTAACTTGAAAATAGGGTTTCGCTGCCCAGAACAGATTGGCATCCACTGCCTTCCACAAGATCCACTGTTTGAGGTCCCTGGCGAACTGGTCCATCCTGTTGGCCACCTTCATCTAAACGCACTGGCTACAAAGTAATTAACCAGAGAATGAGGTGACTGTGTGGAGAGAGGGCCTTGCAGCAAAGCTGCAAATTTTGTTTGAAACCTGCAAACTAATGCATGCACCTTTGGATTGGGGCTGGGTGTAGGTTGCACAACAGTGTCAACTGATATGCAGACAATTTTCATGCCGAGCTTGCAGGCCTGCTTCTGAGAATAATAAACTGCAATCTACAGCAAGCAGACCCTATTGCCCACGGCAACAGAGGAGAATGTATCGAAGATGACAGAAGAGTGACTGCCCGTACCTGACACACCCGCTGCCAGAGCCCTTCTGTACATGCCACCCCCCACAGATGAGGGGCTTGGCACTCCTTCCTTTTCCACAAAGACATCCAGGGCCCGGTAGTGGAATCCCAGCTTGACAAGATCATTGAGCAGTTCCCTGCCACAACCACCCACCATGAACAAAAACTCACGCACTGTGTTGAGCAGTGGAAGAATAGCAGTGCAACAGCAGGACAGCACCAAAACCAGTCCCATGGATATGCAAAGCCCGCCAACAGCAGCCAAACAGCAGCACAATGGCAGGGCGATAGCACAACAGCAACAGTGTGATATGTGTGCAAAACTATCCTGGCACTGCACAGTACTCCTGTGGCAAGAATTCAAGGAACTGCAGTAGCAGTACCAACAGCATTCCTTGGAGTTTTGGAATCAAGTAAAGAACCAATGCTCTCAAGGAAAAAAAATGACCAAAAAACTGCATCAGCCCAGTCAAGGAAGATGCAGTCAGTGCCAAAACACAGATATATGCACACCAACTGGGGTGTCCACAGGATCGCACTGCCAAGGCATGAGGCAAGGGCAATCCAATCAGCTTCCCAACAGTATAGCTAATTGGCAAAAATTGTAATCCAAGGAAATCCCCTTCTGTGCCTTTCAACAGGAACTGTCACGTCCTTGGCCTCCTGTCCAAGTCGCTCGTATGCACTGTTGAGCAACTTATCCTTGTGGGCATGTTGGATGGACACAAATATCAGAAGCAAGGAAAAAATAGGGCAATGCAATTGTAGTGATCAAGGTCAAATCCTCTTTTGCATTGGTGCCAGGCCCACCATGCATCAAGAGAGCGGTGACACCCAATCAGCACAAGTGTTTCACTACTGGCATCGTTGTATTTGGTCAAAAGAATCACAAGATCCTTGGAATACAGTGCAGCATTGACTCCAAACAAAATCATAAAGAGACTGGAGCTCAGCAATGCACTTGCAGTGTTGGTGCGAGGTTGGGAGCACTATCTTCTGCGAGACACTTCACCCACACTGCATGCCACCCAAACAGTGCAAATTCCGATTGGCTACAGTTACCCAAACATGACAAATCACTGTTCTTTCACAAATTGGGCAATGCCATCAGTTGATCACATTCACAAGTGTTTGCTGACTAAGTGCTTTTGTCCCTGCTCACCACCAAAGAGTACCTGTCTGGTCGAGCCACTGAGCTTATGTCATCTGACAGCTGGAACGATGGAGCATCGGGATCTGAGAGATTGAAGACGCCCCTGCACAAACACAGGGATGTGTCAGCCACTGGGCCTGTTCTTGGTGAGAGCAGGCGATCAAAATCTGGATGTTGACCTTGCCTATTTAGAAAGAAGGAAACAAGCCACCAAATTGATGCCCACTACTGCAGGAGATAGTTTGGGGCGCCTGCCAATGCTCTGAAGATGTTGATGTCCAGACCATGGGGACTGATTGCTTGTGGAAGTACTTAATCAAGGTGGTGAATAGAGAACAAAGCTATCAGAAAGAAAAAGCTGTCACAAGACAGCCAGTGAGGGTGTGAGATGGGAGCATACACAACTCTTCCCTTGCACGTACTGAAACACACAAGAAAAGCGATCTACTCACAGCAGGGCAGCCAGCGTTCAACGTTCCCCACAGGCTTGCTACAGACTCCGATGCAGCTGTGCAGATGTCAGGCTGGGTGGATGCCAACCTAATTTCAGTAGTCTCCACCACTTCTTGTTGTTCAGTGGCTCAAGTCGTGGAGCCACACAGAAATATGACCTTGGGCCAAGATATTGCAGGCAAGGGATGTGCACTGTTTGTGAGTGCTGTGCAGCCAGCAGTATGATTTCTGACCACATGCAGGGGCACTTGTGCACTTATAGTGAGAAGTTTCCTTCAACTTGCAACAACCCAACAAAAGCCAAGTTCCTATGCTTCCCAGCTTAAATAACTCGGTGCCTCAGGCTCAAGTCTTCCAGACTGTGTTTATGCCAGCAGAATTCGGCTCTATCCCTGCATATTTCTTGACCTATGTTTAAGAAGTCAAATTACGGTTACATGAGCTCCACTTGCAAGTCTTCATGGTATTGCCAACTTTTGATTCCACCTGGTTTCCCTCTGTTTGGCTCCTCATCCCCCTTGCACCCTCTTCAGGACTGCAACTCTGGCGTCAGAACTCAGCCATCAACCATACAGTAGCACCACCAATAGAAGAAATCCTGGCTGCCCACAATGGTATGGATACGAGTGATGCGCGGGTTACTCCGTGTAGCGAGCTGTCTATGTCGTTGTCAGAAATTTAAGCGCATCTTCACGACGCACTGGGGACTTTCGGGTCCAGGAGGGTTGTTCCAATTGCACGCCATGGTCACATTTTGCCGAGAGACAATGTCCTGCCTGGGCAATCAGCAAGACACTCCAGCCCACCCGCCACCTTCTTTTCCGGCTGCCGCCTCGCTGTGCTCGCCCCCACACGACAAACCATTTATCTCACACTCAACTCGCACGCAACGCTGGCCGCGCCCACACCCAACACGACCGCATGTCCCAATTCATTCGTGCGTTCACTGATTCCTCCACCGACGTCTCAACCACAACCCTCCCGCCCCGTCCTCCAAACCGCTTGCGAAGATCCGAAGATCCGATCGGCGGGATGCGTCGCTGCCCCGCCGGGGACGCCCACCTGTTTGTCGCCTTGTCGACAAAAACATCGCCGGCGTGGCCCAGCAGCGCCAGCAACAGCTCCTGGAGGAGGTTGGAGTAGGACAGGCCGCCCTCGGAGGCCTTGCCCGCGGTCATCGCGAGCGCGGTGCGGCCGGAGGCGCGGCTGACAACATTCCTGCGCTTCCTGCGGGAGTGCGGCCTTGCCCGGCCAGCGCCGCTGGGTGCCAGAAACTGTGCGCTGCCTATTTGGGGCTTGGAGAAATTTGTGGGTAATGGTCGGCGATTCCCTCCAAATGGGATGATCGATTTGTGCGGTCATCTATTTCGCAATCGCCGTGGTGCACAGGTGACTGTTGTGCGCAGGCGCCGGAGGTGTTCTTCTTGGGTTTTCATGGGGAATGTGAGCAACAGCGGGTGAGCTCGAAACTTCGAATGCAGAAATGCATTGTTGGACCATGGCATCACTTGCGCCTTTTACACCGTCAAGGCACGTGGCCTCCCGATGCGGGGGGAGGCCTTGAGAGAGCGTCCTGCACGAACAACCTTCCGAGATGTGATGCAGCTAAAGTGTTGCAGATCGCTTCATGAATTTTTTGAAATCGCAAGGCCTCAGTGGCGTGCCGACACGCTCAGCAAGCGGGGAATCCACCAATTGCACATCCGGGGTGACAAAACACCCAGCGTCTGTCTGCCGACGCCAGAGATCCGCACTGCGCCCAGACCCTCGACGCGCGACCCGAAGACAAAACAGCCCCCGTTGCCGCGATCCACCGGCGGAAAAGGAATTCCACTTCGGCGAGAAAAAAGTCCCATTTCCGCATTTCCGTGCCTCTCCCGGGCACTGCACACAGTTCTGGGGCCACGGAGGGCGCCGCAGCCCGCCAGGCCCCACGGCCCTCGCCCGCCCCCAAGGCTCGCCATGCACGCCCGCCGAGGCACCCCCGCCAGTCCCATGGGGTCCCGCCCCACCACGTGCCCAATGCAGCCGGTGCGCGGTGTGCTCCCTCTGAGCATGCGACCTCGCCCCGGGCGGCGACCGGGCCCTGTGGCCGTTCGCGCCGCGGGCAGCACGTTCGGCCACGCCTTCCGCGTGACGACCTTCGGCGAGTCGCACGGCAAGGGGGTGGGCTGCGTGGTGGACGGCGTGCCCCCGCGGCTGCCCATCAGCGTGGAGGAGATCCAGGCAAGGCGAGCTTTGGGGCAAGCGCGTATGTGCAGGGGCGCGACTCCCGCCCTGTGCAACTGGAAGCGCGGCTGCCGGCCCAATGGCGCTGAGATCTGCGCCGCGCGATCTGCAGTGCTACCCTGTGTTGCAAGGCCGGCAATACCGGCAGGCGAAGTGCGAAGAGACTCCTGTGTTCACCGTCCACGCTCATTGTTCACCGCTCAAAGTTCACTTTTCAACGCTCACTGTTCACTGTTCATGCCGCTCACTGTCCAGTGTCCATTGTCCACTGTTCATGCCGCAAATCTCCACCTTTACGTAGGTCCCCACCCTTGAGTGCATGTTTTGTTGCCAACTGTGTTGTTGCTGCTGTGCTCATCTCTGAGCACTGGACACCCTACATCACCTTCTCACACCATGGAAAAGTCTCACTTGTACATGTGCTCAGGAGGGGTTCCCCTTTTCATCACCTATCTCTCCTTCCCTTTGTAACGAATCTAACCCCCGCAGGCGGAGCTGGACCGCCGGCGGCCCGGGCAGTCTGTGATCACGACACCCAGGAAGGAGTCGGACACGTGCGAGGTGCTGTCCGGCCTGGCGGATGGCGTGACTCTGGGCAGCCCCATCGCTGTCCTGGTGCGCAACAAGGACCAGAAGAGCGGGGACTACGGGGAAATGGAGGTGGCGTACAGGCCCAGCCACGCGGACGCGACATACGACTTCAAGTACGGCATTCGGGCGGTGGCGGGCGGCGGACGGTCCAGCGCCAGGGAGACGATCGGGCGGGTGGCCGCGGGCGCGGTGGCCAAGAAGCTGCTGGACGTGGTGGCAGGGACGCAGGTGGGGATGGTGGGGGATGAAAGTGTTTTTTCAAAATTGCCTTTGAAAGGCAGTGCCATTGAATTTTGTAAGGGTGGTGGCGGGCATGTTGGTAGACAATATGGCAGACAGTAGGGCTTCAGCATTGCAGTCAAGCAGAGTGTGAGGCTGTATTTCCATGCATGTGAACAACATTAAGCTGGATTCTGATGGCTCCATTGATGATGACACTGTGATGGCCTGAAGTGCACCAGGGCTTAGTAACCTTGGTGACTGCAACAGTTCTCTTGATGATCGGAAAATAATGCAGGATGCTGCAGACAATTCGGACGTTGAAAGGCAACAGGAATGTTACACAAAGAAGAGAAGCACAGGTTGCAAGAAGATCTTCACATTGAGTGGCCCATCTAGGGTCGTGATACATCGATTAGTCTCATGGATGAGTCTCATCAATGTCAATGTGGTGACGTCAATGGCGGCACTGTGAAGCACTTGATCACGGCAACAAACGTGTTGCATCCAAACTGGAAATCTGACTCAGTGGCTGGAGAAGTATGAGATTGCCCCAGCTTGTAAACAAGGCCCTACTGATAGCCCTCTCCCGGACAACTTTATGGCTGCAAGAGCCTGGATGTCCTCAAGTGAAATGAGTCAAAGACAGGGGATTGTAATGGTGAGAGTTTGGGGGGTCCCATCCTGCTCCAGTGCAAACCTGTCCAGTGGAAGTCTTTGCCAGCAGCAAGTTCACTGCCCTGCACACTGCACTCAGAACTGTAGAGTAAGTGTCCCTTGGCAGGCTCTGCCTATTGCATGTTTTGTCTCCATTTTGTTTCTATGACTTTTCCACGGTCACCCCTCCCCACTTCTCCTGAACCTTTTTGTATTGTCACTTCCATCCAACGCTCGAGCTTGTATGTTGCAATCTGCTTGACTGCTGGGAATCTAGAAGGCAAAGGCTGTCAGAATGTTGTTCAACAAACTGATGGCACAAGGATTGCTTTCTCGTTTCAACTGTTGAAGATAATGTACCAAACAGGAGATTTGTAGGAGTGATACCCTTCGATTGCCCTGAGCAGCTTTGGTGACAGGTGGTTATGGCTCTTGTGGCTTCTGCAGCCACCTGATTTAATTTCCCTGGTTCCTGCCAGTGCGGACAATGTTTGTCAAGCAAACTTTGCCACTCGCATGAGACATGGATAACAACGATCCACCAACCACAGAATGGTTAGTAGCATTGACTGTTGTCGGCCCAGGGCACCACTGGCCCACCGCATTGCTCCCATATCGCACATCAATATCCATTTGTTTGCTTCAATTATTGGTGCTTTCACACTGCAGACAATTTAGCAAGGTTGTCCCAGCCTGGTACCCTTTGTGGTCTTTTGTGTCTTTACATGAGCTGGTCATGGCATCGACTTGTGTGCTTGCTTCTTAATTTAAATATGAGCTCCTGTGAGTGCTATGCAACAGAAAACTGAACTGTCACCTGTTTTGCAGGTGCTTGCCTTTGTCAACAGAGTGAGAGACATTGAGGCCAATGTGGACCTGGACGCTTTCACAATGGAGCAAGTTGAGAGCAACATTGTGAGATGCCCAGACCCAGCAACAGCACAAAAAATGATCGATGGTGCGCTCCCCACGATTGTTCCATCTGTTCCAGAACAGTGGTGTCTGCTACTGTACTCCATTCTTGCCTTATTCCAGTTTGTCTGTTTGGTTCAATGCAGCTCTTTCTTTTGGGGTGAAATGAAGGTGGAGTGGAATTTTTGGCTGCTGCAACACTTTGAGAGAACTGTGAATGTGTGTGCATAAAGGGCACAAGTCACAGTCGAGGTCCTGACTGGTCCAAGCCTATACCCTAAGAAACCAGTTATGGCCCAGCCAGGCCACTTAGGGTCCTGACTGTGGCTCGCACTCTTCATATGCAAGTAATGCGATCAGACTGCTTGGAAGTACTGCAGACAGTGCATTCTGCACAATTACACAGAGATTGACTTTCTCAAGACTGCTTTGAGGCAGTTTTGTCCACATTTGTGGGCGTTAAACATTTGTTGCTTTGTCAAAGACGGGTGCCTCGTCGATACAGCCCACCAGAGTATGAAAACCAGGTGTGCAGTGGGAAGTAGCCAGTGCCTGTCCTGTCTACCTGTCAGCACAACTAACCAACTCGAAATTCCTTCACAGAAGACTTTTGGTCCCAGGTTGACTTGCAGTTCTGCACACCTGTCGAAAACTCTCCTACATGCACTGGTTTTTTGGCCAAGTTCTGCAGTGTGTATGTAATGCACATCATGCGAATTTTTTTGTCTGCATGCTATTATGCCACCATGTGCTGTCCAAACATTTGGCATTTTTGACGTTTCTTTTCCAATCTGGGTCTCTCAACCTGCTCTCGGCCAATCATTGGTGCAGTGTGCCATGACTGGCCCCGCTATTTCAGCACAACAAGGGAAAAGGGTCGATGCAGAAGCGCCCATCTTGAAACAGGCGGTTTTATCCATGTCTTTGCTCACACAATCTCTGCAGTAGTTGGTAGTGTTGTGCTCTCATTGATTGTTTAGTTCAGCTATTATCCTCTAAGATTACTTTCGACATGACAAAGCAGCGCCCTCGCACCTTGCAGGCGATGACGAGCATGTACACATTCAATAACGTTTTTCTGTCCCACATCTGCTCATTTTATCTGCTTGCCACCGTGTGGCGAGGCATTGCTATATGACGGATTGCCTGAGCCTGATTGTCTGTTGCAGCCATCAATGAGGTCCGCACTAAAGGGGAGTCGTGTGGAGGGGAGGTTACATGCGTTGTTCGTGGCTGTCCTCGAGGCCTTGGCTCACCAGTTTTCTCAAAACTGGAGGCTGACTTGGCGCAAGCGATCATGTCACTGCCTGCCACAAAGGCAAGAAAGGGGACTGAACTTTGGCAGAAAGAGTTGCTGTTTGCAGGACTATCCAACTGTCGCCCTCCCCCGAAAGTCAACACAGTTGATGACACTCTTGCCCGTACTTGGAAACGTGGCGGAGAAGTCTCCCACTGCAACAAGGATAGAATGCAAATATGGTATCAACAATGACACTAGTAAATTGTGAAAGGAAACAATAGAACATGTGCGTGGTCGGAAAGCCCACGGGGCTATTGAAATTGCTGTTTCTTTGCAACAATGCACGAGATTTGCTATGCGGAATGAATATGTTCACATTCTGACAGTAGAGGTATCGGCAGAAATCCAAGTTTTCAGTGGTTTTTGTAGATGCGATATTCTAGTGCGATGGCTTTCACTCTGTTTACAATCTTTTGCCGACATAGCCCTGCCAAACTGTGGGGTCACACAACCAGGAGCATGGATTCCCAGAATGCGAAATTAAGTCTTTCTTGAAGATGCTTTGCAGTATTGGCCACTTGTTGCCAAAAGCAGGCTACAGCTGTGCCAGGCATGGTTGAGCATGCCATGACAGTAGCATGTTGTGCAGTGTGACTTACATAGCAAGAAATCGCCTCTACATGTGCTGTTGAGGAACTGAGGCAAGTACAGATGTAAAGTGATGGCAAATTAGCACAGTTCAAATGCTCTGGCGTTAATTCATGATGCAGGGCTTTGAGGTTGGCAGCGGCTTCGCAGGCTCCCGGATGCTGGGCAGCGAGCACAATGACGAGTTCTACATACAGGATGGCGATGTGAGGACACGGACCAACCGCTCTGGGGGCGTGCAAGGTGGAATCTCCAATGGAGAGAACATCGTCGTGCGTGTGGCTTTCAAGCCCACCTCCACCATCACAAAGAAGCAGCAGACCGTCACTCGTGACGGGCACGAGACTGAGCTGCGAGCCAGGGGACGGCATGACCCCTGCGTGGTGCCGAGGGCCGTCCCGATGGTGGAGTCGATGGTGGCCTTGGTGCTGGCAGATCACTTCCTGCAGGTGGGCAGGTGGACTGAGTGGACTGCTTCATTGGTATATGTGCTGCTGTTGCACAGACCATTGGCCAGTTTATGTGGAAAGGCTGTGTGAGGCTTCGATGGTGCTGAAGCTCTGCAATAGTGGTTAGTCCATCTGACAGTGAAGTTCATGATCCTGGGATAAGGAATAGATATCTGTGTTTTGGCTGGTGACCAACACCGCCAAGTGGATGGTGGGGCAATGACTTGCTATATATGACAGCGTAATCACAAACACAAGGCTGTTAGCGATTCTGGAAAGCGAAGAAGAATGTGCCTTGATTATCTCCCTCAAGATCAGAATGTTGAGTATTCAGAAGTTTTGTTAGTAACTCTGTGTTCACCCAATGTTCTCATCAAGTTCTAACCCCGCACCTACATGCAGACAATCAGCACAAATTCAGCATCCCCTGGACAAAGAAATGAAAGGAAGTATGGCCTACGGCTGGGCCGTTTTGAAGTATTGGCTGGGTAAATTCACACGCACACAAGTACACAAGTACACATGTACATGTGCTGGATATTTTTGATCACCAGACCATCTGCCTTGGGTGTGCACTTGCAGAATGTTGTCTATGGATGCAATTACTTTTGATTGATGTAGATTGGTAAGTGGACTGTGGATGACTGCGTATTCTGGTGACATAGGTTTGTTAACGTCTTCGCACACTTTGTTGCGTGCAAAGCAGTGCATGAGAGAGCGTAGCTTGTGTTCAGCATCGGGTAGAGATCAACAGGAACGACCGTGAACCGCGTTGGCAGAAGAGCAGTTGGATGCAGGTCAATGGCGAAAGTGCTTGGACAAGAACTGCTCCCCTCAGCCAAATAACGGGCACTGTTCAACTGCCCTTTTCAGAAAATCTGCGTGCATATGCCGCCCTGCTGATCTGTGTCAGGGCCTTGGCTGCGTCTCGGCTGCCTACAGACCAGCAACCTTTGCTCATGAACATTGTCCTGCTTGCGTCGCAGCACTACGCTCAATGCGAGCTCCTACCTCGAGACGAAACTTCATCGCCCATCTTGGGCAAGCCAGCCATGTCTCAACCGCCGGCTTCCAAAGTTCTGTGCAGCAATGGATAGGGAAGAACTCACGTGCTGCCTGGTTCAACGAGTGTTGGCATGGGCACGTGTGGCCTTGTTTGTTCCCAATAACGGCAGTGATGCAGGGATATTGTGAGCTGGTCTGGCACTCACTTTCTTGACCTGGAAAGGATCCCTTTGTCGATGACTGTCTTGTTGACATAGTGCATAGGTTCGCTGCGGCGCTGTTGCAGGACTTGCGAGGTAGTTTGTAGATTCCCACCTTCGGAAATTTTGGGAGATAGTTGGGAAGAGGCGGTGAAGTGTCGGCAGGCGCGCTTTGATTAATATTTCGTTTTCCTGGAACTGTTTGCTGGTGGTGCTGTGCGGCAAGGAAGGAGCGTCGCCCGCGCGTCAATCTGTGGGCTCACGTGCCCCGCGCGTGTGCGGAGAGTGCCACATGCGCACGGAATTGGCACCGTTGATGGTGATGAGAAGTCCGTTGCCATTGCCGTTGAAAGCTTGTGGAGTCGTTGCGGCAGTGGCAGGACCAATGGCCAGGTTCGCTACGTCATGTGTGTGGCTTGCCATACATCACATCAAACGACAGCTCAAATACATCAAACAACAGCAACATCAAACAACAGAATTCAAACATTAAACGGCATCAAACGACAGAATTCACTGCACACATGTTAACAAAAACGTGAGGCGAAGGTGATGAAATGAAACGAAATCGAAACGAATGAGCAAGCCTCAGTGGTAAGTACATCAAGAGGCCGCAAATTAACAAAATTGCCCAGCACATCGGAAGAAGTTGTCTATCCTGGATGCACAATCTAGGACATTCCAATCCCAACATATATACATATCCGAATATACATATACGTGGGTGAACGCCGATGCCCCACTCGACATCCAGGATGTGGGAACCCCCACTTTCCTGTTCGATGTCCAGGATGTGAGACTTCGTCCGACACGATGCTGCACACGCACAGCAATTGTTTGCGTGGACACACCACCGTGATGCTGATGGCCGCTGCAGCTGTCACATCACCATTTCTGGCGACGGCACTTTCGGCAGCATGACGTTCCCTACTTCTTAAGACGCAATCGTTGTGCAGCGAGAATATCTTTGAGCCTGTGCAGCGTGGTATATTGGGTGCTCTGGACCATCTCGATTGCTACCGCACTAATGGTGATCACGCTCTTGTCATCTGTTCCTAGTTGGTTTCCTAAATCCTATGATACTTTGCAATTACATAATGGACAGATTTTTTTGGTCCCCAGATGACACCAGACCCTGGGATATGAAGATGTTCTGGATGCGTATATCCAGGATATGCAACTTCTTTCGGCGCAGGGCGGAGACTCTGCCGCCGCCAGGCATGGCTGAAGCGGCGAAGCAATTGCTAGCCCTCACGAGTCCGACGAACGCTGAGCACGCTGTTCCACCGCCAAAAGAAAGGCCAGATTTTATTTGAATCGATGGTACCAATAATTTTGGACAAAAATTCTTGCCCGGAGTTTTCTTTGCGATTGCAGTAAAGTTCAAAACTGGGAGGCAAACGGGGAGAGCTCGCCAGCCAGTAGCATGAAATGAAGGACGCGATGAGGTCCCGTTCGGCCACTTCTTTTGGAAACCAGCTGTGGTTCTAATCGTTGAGATGACAACTAAATTAAAGGTCTTTCAATAACAATCACATGCAGGCGTGCAGCTGCCGTGAGCATTGCTTACAGGCTGGTGACACATTAAAGTGATTGTTACCGAGTGCAACGACGATTGATTATATAAAATTATAATGTGACTTCCAGTGAAAAAGTCGTGCTGACAGTGTCAGGTAACTCCTGCTTGCTAGAATGATTCGCTTCAAACCACTGCACGCACTTCTGCTCAGGCTTGGTTTTTACGCCGTAAAAACTGATCGTATTTATGTTTTTACGCGTAAAAACAGTTTTTACGTTTTTACTCGTAAAATGCGTAAAAATACGTAAATACAACGTAAAAACTGCCTGGTGTACATAAGAACAGTACATGCAGACTTGTGGAGTCCGGAGAATGGCAGCCAGACGCCCTGGAAGGGGCAGAACACGAGTTTTTGTTAAACGCCATCATCGCCCTTGCCAAAGTCAAGGTGAACATTGTGCTGCGGGTGCTGGAGATGGCGGATGACTGATCATTGTATGCAACTTTCATCGTGTAATCTGGGTGTCCCTGGGAGCCGTAAAAACGTAAAAATAGCCGTAAAAATAGGGTCTTTTGCAAATTTACGTTTCTACGCGTAAAAACGTTAAAGTAAAAGCGTAAACGTAAACGTAAAAACCAAACCTGCTTCTGCTAAAAGACCCCATCATTACAATACGTCATTGCAATAACATGCACATCATACCAGGTTGTGAAGCGGAGTGACTTCGGTGACTGGAAGCTTGGCACCCCGGGCAGGCGTCAGAAAAAAGTCGCATATCCTGGATATACATTTCCAGGATATGAAACCCTCTGAAAAAAAATAGTCGATAGGTTTCCAAAAGGTTAGAGGGTTCGATGTCTTGGCGAAGAATCTCCTTGCCCAGTATTTGCAAATGCACACAGGCTCCTCCTCCTGCCTTTCCTCCTCTTCATCCTCCTCTGGGTACTCCTGTGGCTCCATATGCGCCTCTGGTGGCGCCACCTCTGAATCGACGTACTTGAGAATCCGAGAGAACGAAACAATCCAGGTTCGCCATTATTGCATTTATTCATGATGGCAACTCCCAAAGATGTGGGAAGGCGATATTGCATGATGTTTTGAATCCCCATATTCGTAGATTTTAGATTGACTTCACAGGAGCTGGGATATTGGATTGCAACATCAAAAGGTACGTTAACAAATCTTTGGATGTATCATCCTTCAAAGTGCTGTGAACAGAATGGCATTCCGTAAAGGGAGCTCTTGAAGGAAATGCCGTTGATGCGATTCAAACGGCCCCCTTTGGAGTGCACACGGGAAGTGCGAATCCACGATCGCCGATGCTTCAACGGCGTTGGCACACAGCCAGACGCAGGCCACACTACACTCAAACCGCCGGGGCTTATATATTTGTTCACCCTTCCCACAACGAAGAGCCTTGCCGACGGCAGCAACGGCCCCCGCAACTGAACCGTTCGAATCTTTTTGCACCCACAGAACTTTCCTTTTCATGTGACAAAGACCATCATCCATCGTCAACCAGCCAGACCGCACTTCAGAGATGCCCATTCATCACCACAATGCAACCAACTTCATAAAACATATGTCAAAGGTGCCCATACACTCAGTGGTAATGTGCAAATATGTACAAGTCGCACACTATAATGCATAAGTGATCCACCCAGTGAAACGGTGGTCATTATGCGGTGTTGCGAACAGAGCCCATTCCTTATCTGACCTTTCCTAATGGAAGCAATTAGATGGTGTTCAAAATATTGATGGTGGCTTTACCACCACCGTTTCCACATGGGCAACAAGTTCTGGCTCACCACGATTGCCGCTTTGCAGAAGCAGGATTTTTTATCTGCAATAGAATATTGGTGAATTAAATCCAATTATTGACGATAGCATGCATATGTTGTGCTGCGTTGCCTCGTCGAGCGAACGGGTCTAGTTTGCAGCAAAGCGGTGGCGAAAGACACGTGTCTCCAGTGCACCGGCTCCTTGAAGAGCACCATCTGCCAAAAGATGATGCGGTCAGGGGTTCTGTCAAAGAGCACCGTCTTGCGGTGTGACGGGTAGGACTTCGACTTTGCCACAATACCAATCCTAAGGTTATGGCGCGGCCACCGTCTGCTGCATTGATGACTGGCTATTGTTCTGTCTATGAGCAAAAATCTTGTTGGAGGAGCTCCAACATCTGTTGCCATGACTGACAGCATCCATGAAGCGGTGCTGAGCGCTTAACTAGAGGAACGTGTGTTGAGGTCCTGACGAGAGCTAAGGCCGCCAATACAAATAATTCTAAGCAAGTGTGCATCATGAACGAACAGGTGACGTCACCAGGTGACGTTCAAGAGCCCCCTTGTTACCATGGTGTGGATGA